CTCCTTCTTTTCTCCCTCCACCCTTCCTCCCCCTCCTCCTCCTTCATTCCTCCTTTCTCAGATTACATCCTCGTTGCCGCCTCGTTTCTCATCCCGTCGCCGGGGGCTGTCGCCGAGGGCCGGCGAGGGCGCTAAACGATTTCCCACCATGCATCACTCGCCTTACTCTCACGCGCTCAAACACACACACACACACACAGACACACACGAGCAAACACAGTAAATCTATTTCCAGGATGTTAAATCCTCCGTTGACTCGTTGATGGAGCGTCGAGGAATCAAATCAGCAGCTAAAATGTTCCGATTTTATTCCTCCTCGGCTCGTGTCGAGGTGGGAAAACCTGAGTGTGTCATTGATGGATGATCCTGAAGGTGGCGCTAGAGAGATAGTGATTCACAATAAGAGCGAAACATCAGAGTTAATTTTGAAATATGTGTTCATAGGCAATGGTTTTGAGTGATTTTGAGGCAATGCGGTGAGTTCCACTACAGAGTCATGCTTGTTTTAATGCAGGTGATAAAATCCTCAAATTCTGCTATTAATCTGTTTAATAAGCAACTATTAGCTTACGCAGTCTCTCACAGAGTGGTGAACCTCTTCCCTTTAACTTCTAAGAGACTCCGCCTCTCCAAAGGTTTTTTCATGTGACTTACGAAAGACGTCAGGGGAGGGGAAAGAATAGATAGAAGACAAACAAGAGAAGCAAAGACGGATGGAGGGAGTGAAACAGGGAGAGAGGATGGAGGTGGAGGCTAATAGAAGTCTACAGGGTCGCATAAATCTCACACTTCTGTCGCACAAATTGATCACTCTGCTGCAAATCTCCCCCAGCGCTTCAGCCGACAGGTGTAGTGAGCGTTCATGAGTGTGTGTTTGGGATGAAACACTAAAAAGAAAACCAAAGAGGAAGAAAAGAGAGAACAAAATGAGGAAAAGGTGTATCGACGGTCTGTTTCTGGAGGTTTTGTTATTTTTTCTTTGCGTAGGACACTGAACTCTCCACGACCTGCCAGCTGTCCATCAAAACGGAAGTTACCATAGCGACCGCTGACGGAGAAAGGCAGACAGCGTGAGTGTGTAGAAAAAGAGTGAGATAGAGATAGAGAGAGAGAGGATGACAGGTGAATAATCAGAGCAGGAGCGCCGATCGTCACGGAAATGAAGCCTGACAGCGCCGACAACACTGGGGACACACGCATTCACACACACAAACACACACACACACACACTGGGATTACCTGGAGAGCACAGCACAGCTCTGCACCAAACATGATGAGAAAAATTAATGAAAGGTTCCATTAAAGCATTGATTGGACAAAGTTAATCACCTATGGTTAAACGCTGCACTTCCACCATGTTGTAATTCACCTGTAGGGTTTTTTTGACATTGATGCTGTTGTATGAAACGGGCTGATTGTTTTTAAAATGTCTTTTTGTGATATTTCTGTGTTCCCTAAAAACAAACTTTAACTTTTCTTCTTCACTGATTTTAAAGGAACTAAGAAAACAAACTTTAGCGGATTCCCACAACACCTCTGCAAACACACACTCACATTGTGGCCCGAAATGAACCCAACCTGTTGACTTCTGACCTTTAATTACACACATAATTCCTCCACACATAAACATTTGCAGTTCACTAATGTAATGAATGCTTTATGTGTGTATGTGTGTATCTTTCTCTCTCTCTCTCTCTCTCTCTCTCTCTCTCTCTGTGTGTGTTAATTATTTGGGGTCTAACCTTGTCAGCCTCTAATTGGATCCCTTCACACACAGTGAAAGACACACACACTCATTGTTAAACAGCAGTGTGTATTTAGTGAATCAATAGTGCCCCCTGCTGGTCACATGATCAGACAGCTATCTTCAGTAAGTTAATTTAAAATTATGGCAAATCCTTAGAGATTTATACTGATTATGTGCACGGGTCCTCCTTTGTATATTAAAAAGCATAAATTATAAAAGCGGGTATAATGGCATGATGGGAAATGTGGTTTATAGTAGGACTTTGGTGTGATTTACATTGTGGAAAACACTGCAAAGGCTCAATTTGGAAAGAAAAACTTCAGTTTAAGGCTTACTTTATATTCTAATATCTTCATGTTTCTAGTCATGAGAACACAGATGTTTTTTTATACATATTTACATTTTGATTGCAAACTTCAAGTTAAAATTAAAGCCAAAATTTAATTCATAACGTTACCAAAATTCCCGGCCCAGATAATCTTAGCTAATGGAAAGTTGACAACCATTGCTTGCATCTTCTACAGTCAAAAATAAGTATTTCTTTTTTATAATTGGTTGCATAAATGTTAACTACAATAAATGGTGAATAATCTGTGTTTAGTAACAACATAATCCATCGTATCTTATCATCTGAAAGGTATTTAATAATTTCGTCTTCAAAGTTACCCTTTAGGACACCAACCCCTGTGTGTATCAAGAGTGAAAACGGAGAAAAACAAAGTAGAAATTAAATAGAGGAAATTTTCTCATCCTTTTCTCTGTGTTTCTGAAAAGATGTGAAACATTTCCCAAGACACCGTCAGTTTGTCTATTTTGTAGGCTACAGATTTTCTGAAAGATTCAACACCATATATATATATATATAAAGCTTTTAATATCGGTCAATTAGTTATTGATGAAACTTGAGAATATGACGATATCACTGTGTTTTGTTATGCCTGTGTAGTCGACATTTTAAAAATTTTGAGCTTCCCGCCCATTCTGACTTCAAAAGGAGCCGTTCTCCACCTCCGCGAACCTGATTGGTTGTGAGGCAGACGTTGCTCCCTCGTGTTGTGAGGCACGCTCCACGTCCTTGAATGACGTGCACGAGCCCGAGCAACGGTCGACGGTGCTACGATATCGGACAGTAGAAACCAACCAGAAAGTACGGGGAATTGTCTGAATCTTCTTTTGGCTACGACTGCCAATACAAGTAAGAAAACGGAGTAAATACCGGAGACTCTGACGGAATAACGGGCGGTAAAAACGGAGGTAGACCACCCGGACAAGAGCGAAAAAGCCGAGTCAACGTCAATGAAGCTAGCATGAATGACGGGGGACGCTTCGGGATCTTACTAACCGTTTAACCTTTTTGCTGGACAGGTAAACCGCCTGTGTAGTCGGCATTTTAAAAATTTTGAGTGTCCCGCTCTTAGATACATATAAATGCTGGATGATTTACGCAAGCTGTTAGCCAATGCAGACCGACGTTCGCGCATGGCGGCCATTTTGTTTGGGGACGTTTGCCCACTCATAACATTACAGTCTACGGTGCATGTAGCATTTAAATAACCGTAGATGGACTTTTTTCTTTTTACCGATTTTCGAACGGTGTAGTTCGTTACAAATCTCAGAGGTTTAGTTATGTTCCTGTATACTGAAGAATAGTTTTAACCATGGATTTTCATAGTTAAACATGAAGCAGATAGGTAGAGCAATAGCTATAGGCACACACACAAGGCAGTTATATTAAATTATATAATACAGTTAATCATTCCATGTATGTTAGTAATATTTCTATTGTAGGGATAACTATAAAAACATGTTGCAATAACATATATAATTATTTATTTTCAAGATTTCTCCCTCATGTTGCCATTTTAGATGCTTTAACAAACCAAACAGTTTGGAAATCATGTGCATCTAAGTTATGTTGAATCGAAAGATCATTTCTGCGTCTTTCACTGATGTAAAATTACTGGGTAAACTTTGTAATATGTACTTGGACTCACTCACAGCGAGTCCGTTAACGAAGTTACACAGCTGATAAACACAAGCACATCCGCATTAAAACTGTTACAACTCACTGTTTTGTCCATAATTGTGATTAAATCCTGTAAAATAAAGAAAATTGCATGTCTGAGCTGTATGTTTTATCCTGCGTAAACATAACTTTTGTCCCTAAGTATCACGTGTGTCTAAAAAGAAAAACGTCCCTATAAATATTGTACATTTAAGTGTTTTTTAGTAAGTTTGTACCTTGCAAAGCTGCTCCTGAGAATATCCTTCAATGTCTTTGGGAGGAAAATGACAATTTATAAAGAAAGTGACTTTGAGGATGTAATTTTTTGTTTGTTGTTTATCTAAATTCAAAAATGATTGTTGATTTTCCTAGGAAGTACTCAAATACACCCACCAGGGGGCGCAGTAGACTTCATATCCCTTAATGTGCAGAGCCAAGACTCCGAACCCCGCAGCTGCCAGGGCTGGGATCTGCATCTCATCTAGGTAGAAGAAAAAATAAGACCTGTGAGTTTAAGTCCTCTTGAAAGTAAATGTAGTTTCTGTTCTTTCGCTAGTTATTTTCATGCAGCAGAGGGAAACTGCACAGCATTCATCCATCAGCTTTAGATACTTTTGAAGTTAGGATTTTTCTGCTGCTGCTGCTGGTTGCAGCTGTTTCCACAGAGTGAAAGTGCAGCTTTTACTGCACTTAAGTCTTCAAATTTACCTACACTGTTGGCTCTAGAAGTTCAAAAGGTATGCGTGTGATTCATTTCCGTATCATACTGATGTTTTGCTCTCTGTTCAAGGTGTAGACGACATGTTGTGTGGCACATGTTGTAAAGTTGCCTGATACCTCCAGGAGTACCAGCTCTCAGAGAAGCCATGACACAACAGAACTGGTGGACCTGAGCCCATCTCAACGAAATGAGTCCTCACACCAGGCTGACACACGCAAACACACAAAAATTATTAATTTCATAGAAACAGAAACGACTTTGAACTTTCATAAAATCTCAAATCTTCACCCCGACGGTGATGTATCCATGAGCGACTTCCTCAGGGCTGCAGGAAGGAGGAGGACGCTCTGCTCTGACAGCCTGAAACGCATAAAGACACGTCCTTACATGCTCATGTTAGCATAGTATCCTTTTGAGAATGACTCCATCCCCTGGCACCTGCTGCCCCTCTTCTGTGGTATTCAGTGAGATATCATCTTTTTGTCCCCACCTGAACTCCAGTAAATTCAGACAGATTATTCAGAGCATCATCCAGATTCTCCACCAAGATGACCTCCATCCCTGCTGCCCTGGCTGCCTTCACACCCTCCTCCTCTGCATCCAACCATAGGCAAACCAAGAAATTCTGCTCGTCTCTTTTGATCCTTCTGACTGTTTTCATGATTTTCACACATATATTTAACAACTTGTGTGGGTGTGTCCTCTACCTGTTCTGATGTCACTCCCAGGTGTTGAAGAGCAGAGGTAAACACCTCAGGCTCAGGGACCCGGTGACCAGCTCTGCAGACCTGGAGGACCAGGTCAAAATGGCTGCCTAGCTGAGACAGAAGGCAGGCTGGATGGTCTCCAGCTGAGCTGTCATCCACCCAGTGATTGGCCAGCACAGCTGTGAGTAACCCTGGGAGGGGGGCAGCAAAAATCACACTTGATTTGAGAGTTTATCAGACGATCAATTAGCCGCCTTCTCTTGAGTGTAGCAGGTTCACACTGTCACAATCAGTGTTTTTAATCTACTTTTGGTTCTAATGTAAACAGAAAGCCTTAGGGGGGGCAAATATTTCATTGGAGGACTTTATTTAGTCCAACAGCTCTGTTAGCCCACCACAGCTGCTCGTGCTGGTGTTTGAATGAGTGTGTACCATTCTGGTGCAGCCTAGCAGCTGTCTGCAGCACAACCGCTTGGATGTCCATCATTTTCTCTCTGAGCTCCTCCAGCAGGACTTTGACTGACCAGTCAGATGGCAGAGTCAACCTCCTGACCTGGGCCTCCTTTGCATACTCAGCCTCCAATGCTGGCACCATCTCCACAAACCCAGACCCACACAGACTCAGTAACAGCGAGTACAGAGTCGAAGAACAAAAGAGTGAATCAGTCCCTTTGTCTGGACTTTGCCCACCTGAGTGAGGGTTAACTCTCCCCTCTTTGCCCGGCTCATGGTGCTGTCTTTGGGAGCAGCCACACTGGACAGAAAATCTCTGAAAAAAAGATAATCAAGCTGGCAGTGGGTAAATCTGAGCATGTTGAACATGTCAAGCAGGGTAGCTTTGCAAACATGCACAAACAGGAAATGGTTGACCTGTTGTACAGTAAGAGTTGTGATAACAAAACACTGTCACTTTTGAACCGACATTACAAAGTCCCCGTTTGAACCAGCTGACATTTAATAGAGTGTCTATTTGTGGAAAGTAAAATGAACAAAGTCAATAAATTTAAGAAGAATGACAATATGCCAGCTTTCATGCTACAAAGACTCTGTTAATGTGGTTACAGGTGTACGCCTAAAATCGAAGAGCATTACAAGTTTAAAGAAGTCTGCATTTGAGCATTAATTGTCTAATGTTTAAAAAAAGAACCAGAGCATTTTAGAAGCAGAATCCAAACATCTGAGACCAAAAAAGGAGAAATTTTGTTTTATTTTTTTTTGCAATAAACCAAGACAACTTCCAAAGCTGCAAGTATTTGTCTTCTACTTTTATCTGATCTTATAATGTGTGACTGAAAATCGGTAACCTTGCAAAGTATCTCTACACCAAATCAAAGCTTTATGTAACAGCCCCTTACCCTAGCAAGTTAAGCAACCCCTCCAACTTGTTGAAAACAGCATGCCGAGTTGAAGCTGTTACTCCCCAGAAGTTGAATAGGATGGTTTTCTTTTGAGCCATCTTCTCTGAGCCTGGGTGGAAGGAGATGGACTTTCTTCAGCTTTCTTCATGCAGTGTGAGTTCTCTCTGCCTCTGCTGAAGCTTTGTCCTCTGCACAGACTCACATTGAAGGTCCGCCTCCACTCCTGCAACTCCAGCTCCACCCCGCACTTTGTGTAAGAAGTGAATCCAGGCTCTGGTGTGTAGCGAGGTATAGGGGAGAGTGGGGTAAGTTGCACCAAAGGGCAAGTTGAGCCACCCACTGTTGCTTGGAAATGGTAGAAGAAACTGATCATGTGACCAAATATTTAGGAGATGGGCATCAATTCATGGAGTCTGTGAAGGTTAGAAGCACATGGGTGAAGAGGTTAGACATTTATTTCAAAAAAAAAAACATTTTTCCTAACTCTGTAAAGTGAATTTAGTCTGTCATAAGTTTGATTAGAATTGTGTTCAGACCAAAAAAGATTATTTTAAATTTGTTTTATCCTCAATTGTTGTATCTATGAGCCTATCATAAAAGTCCACCATTTTAGCTCAGAGGACATTGATACATCAATTGTGGTATCTATGAGCAACAACATGAGGTCAAAAACCTATCATTAAAGTCCACCATTTTAACTTAGAGGACTAATAAAGTCATCGTAGTAGTTCTGGGGTAATTGAGAAAGCAAAGGAGTCTGATGAGAGGATCAGAGTTCCAGTTCAGATTGTTGAAATGTTTTTACTTTCTCTTTTCAAAAATACAGATCTGTGAATGTTCTCAATCACTTAGAGACATTCTCATGTTCAAATGATATATATATATTTTTTTTACAAAACGGATTTTTAGCAGTTTAATGTAATAATAAAAAATACTTATTGTACCAGTTGAATAGTACATAATAGATAAAGATACCCGTGAATGTGAACGAGTGACTGTTAGTTAGGCAGAGAGAAGGTGAGGGAGGGCTAGGGGGGAGAGTGGGGGGTAGGGATATAGTTAAACTTAGCCCGCTTCTATGGTCAACTTACCCCATACACAGGGTAAGTTGACCATAGGAGACCACTTTTTTTGCATGCTGTGTTATCAAGACAGTTCTGTTTACACTCATTCTGTTGGTTTGCAGGGATGAACAACATCTTGAAATATACACAAGATAGAGACAAAACTAGGATTGACTTGATGTAGTGATCCGAAATATGCCTCCAGTTGCGTCCTGTGAATGACCAGCCACTGAGGTTGGGAAACTTTCTCACTTCCCAGTTGATTTATTATCTTGTTTTACTGACAATAGACTATATTCATTTACTATAGAGTTTATGGTTCTGACGAATTTGAAACAGGAGGCGGGTTTTGACGCAAAAGTGAAAGCAAAAGTATCAGAAATTCAGAAGTGTTCGAACGTCTATTGGATCGATGAAAGCCTCTTCTAACTGTAAGGTAAGTGTTGCACTTTTAAACCATAAATCAAATGTCACACATATTTTAGGAAGACTGCTGGCGAATATATGGGGAAGACCAGAGCAAAAATTCCTAACATTTCGTAGTTAGGAACAGGATTGAGACGAAAAGCAGAGCACCCAGGTTACCTGTCGTCGAAGGTAATGTCGCGCGGTCAAGCTTCCGTGTTAGGCCTAAACTTTCTGGAGTCTAAAAAATAAAGGTACACGGCTTTTTGTATTAGTAGTTTTGTTTTAATGACTTGTGCTGCTTTGTTGCATTTCTGATTACTACAGTTAAGTCAAGTTTGTTAAGATATTCACAGGTTTGTCATTCATCAACGGTAAACGGCCTTAAGAAAAATAACCTTTTTTTCTTTTTTCTTTTTTTTTTAAAATAAACATAATGAGACTGAGCGCAAGCTACTACCCGTTTTCCATTCGTACGAGACATCATCCGAGCAGTATCCTGCAGCACATTAGCGTCTATACGCAGCTGTCTGTGGCTCTGATGCGCAGGGACCGTCTGCGGGGTGCCACACTGGAAAAACACTGTGTTCACCAGAGAAAAGTTTTGTGTTGTTAAAAACAGTCTTAACTTTGCTGCCGTGTTGTAGTGTAAATATTAAATTTTTTTAGGCATTTCTTTCAGTCGTTAAAGGATTAATTAGGGCACAATAAAGAGCTGTACTGTAAAAGTCCCAGTATCCGCCTGCATTTGATAAAGAGACCGGTAAGAAAATTATTAGGTATATTGCTGCTATGCTCATCCAGGCTTTTCTTGTTTTCTGTAGACCGTGAGGATGCTATGTGAAGATAGACACGGAAGTATGAGACACGTGACCGTAAAGCACCAGTTTTCAGGTATTGGTCTTGAAATGCTGTGGTTTAATGCCGTGTTGTATGTCTATTTCTAATAACTTTGAATTGTTCAGACACTACTGTTACAGCATCCGTTACTCAAGCAGGTTCGAGGTGGCTGACATCAAAGTTAATACACCAGAGGCTAAATGATGTCTGTATTTGGCTCTCTATTTACGGACATGGTCTTTTCTTCTCTAGATCTCTGAAGGCGGGTCCAAGTAAAGAAAAGACAGTATCAAGAACCCATGGCGTGTGCATCACAGTCTGCCTTAAATTATCTTAAGTCTGCCAGGCGCCACCTGGTGGGAGGATTAAAGAATCTCTCAGTGATTGTGGAGAACTTGCATCAGCAAAAGGTTTTCACTGATGAAGAAGTCTGTAAGATACAGACAGAGAAAGATGACTGGGATAAAACCAGGGCAATACTGGACTCAGTCACAAAGAAAGGGGAAGCAGCCTGTGAAGTGTTACTCAGGATTATCGACATGACAAGGATGAGGAGTTTAGAGAGGATATCTCCTTTCCCTGAGGAGACAACTGAATCCTCTACCGAGCCCAAACAGTTTGACCTGAACCACTGGATCAGCTGCTTTCCTTTCGAAGAAGATACACAGATGTATGGAGGCTGTTTACAAGGTATCCTTGAACTACATTCTGATCAGTATTGACTAAAGTCTTTACTCTATGTGACGACGTTAACGTGTCAGTGCACAAATGGAGGATAAAGTTACATCACTTTATTGGGTATTTATTCTCTCACTGTTGTTTCTGTTGTAGGTCCAAGACCATGCCACATGTATCAGGAGAAGTTAATGGAAAGAGTGCAAAAAAAGGTTAAGGAATTTTGGATGAGAAACGAAAAACTGCTCTGCGTGAACCACAAGTCTGATCTATCATACAGTCCGCTGGTCTTGAACACACAAGGAAGTGGATCACCATCCAAAATAAAGAAATTTAAGATCAAGAAAAGCAAGATGAGCCGCCCTAAAAAGCTCAGAATGTACATACCTGAAGACGAATCCAAAGTATCTCCAAGTGACCTGCTGAAAACAAACAAAAACATCCTCTTGGTTGGTAAGCCTGGAATTGGAAAGACAGCTCTCTGTCATGAAATCCTGAAGCTCTGGGTAGAAAAGAAGAGTGAGAAGCTGGATTATATGTTTTACTTTGACATGAGAGAAAGATCCCACGTCACAGGTGTGATGAGCTTAGAGGAACTCCTTTTCAGTGTGTACTGTGAACCAGATGATGGCAAAGACAAGGTGCTGCAGGACATAAAGCAGTACTCAGACAACGTGACCGTAATTTTCGATGGAATCACAGATCTCACCTGTTCGGTGGTCAAACATATTGTTGAGAAGGACCTCCCTAACGCTAAAGTCATCATCACCTGCAGACCAGATGATGAGGAAGATTTCTTCTATGGAGACTTTCTCAGAGTTGAAGTGAAAGGCTTTAGTGAACAGACCATCAAATTATACCTCTTACCAATTCTTGGCGAGGAACACAAGAAGATTATGTGTGACTTGGAGTTGTTGACTCTTTGTCATGTCCCAGTGTACGCACTGATGGTGGCTGCCTGTCTTTTATCTAAGACACCTGAAGACTTGCCACAGCCGCACAGCAAAACTGAAATAAATATCAACATTGTCCGTTTTTGCCTTCAAGTGAGCAGCAGTAAAACAAAAAAGTACCTCAACTCCTTCATCCAAGAGAAGAAAATGGAAATCCTGTCTTTGGCTGAGCTTGCTTTTCATGCAACTGAAAGAAAAACTGTGAGCTTGACGAACCTTCACTGCGAAGACCGCTGTGTCCTTTCCTTTCTGAAACCTCTTGTTGTCCAAGTGGCTCCCACTGAAACAAAAACAACACATGCATTTCTCCATTACACAGTGCAGGAGTTTTTTGCAGCTTTGTGGCTCTTGAAGAACCCTAATGAAATCAAGGGTGTTTTACAGCAATGCCTCAAAGAGGAGCAGCAACACATGAAACACCTGATCCCTTTCATGTGTAGACTGCTGACTGAGAAGAGCCCCAGCTTGATGGAGCACCTGATTCCTGCTCAGGAGTTAAAAAATACATCAAACTGGTTCTTCAAGGCATTGATAGACAGCGGGTTTGATGACGACATACGATTCTTGTGTGAGTGCTTGTACGAGTCGCATTGTCCTGAAGCAGGCGTCTACTTGCTAAAAAGACTGAACTACCATCTTGATCTCAGTGGTGAGAGTTTGGATCCCTATCTTTGCTGCGCTGTGGCCAATGTGGTTGCTCTGTCGAGGGAGAGGAAAGTGAGCCTGGACCTTGAGGGTGTTTCTGTGTCAGAACAAGGAGTGAGAAGACTGCTTGGCTGCCTTGATAATGTCCAATGGTATGGGTTTAACATGTCACGATGCTGCTCAGTTTAAAACATACAGAGGAAGGTAAAATGAAATGAGCCATGACTGTACTGAGCATAAAAATGTAGATGTTAAAATGTGATGAAAATTGAATCAGCTCTTTTTTTCCTCCTCTATGTTCCCATCACTAATTATTCTTTGAATCACAGGAGCGACCCTCTGCCACAACAGCTGTGGGAGATCATCCTTCTCAGCGAGGAGCAGCTTGAAAGCGTCACTTTGCTCAGCTGTGATGGACATCAGTTGCACCTTCCACTTCAGGGTAAAAGACAACTTTTTGAAAGAGCAGTGAGTGTCATACAGAAGAACCCAATGAAAGTGAATGTTTGCCTTCACTGGGACAGTGGAGAAACTGCTGTCAGCCGAAATCTAAGCAAGTCTCTCCTTGAGGCTCTGCACTACATAAAATCGCTCAGGTATGCAGCCTGAAACTGAAAAGTGTAATTAAAAAAGACAATTACTAAAAGTGACATAAGAAATCAGATAGTTTTACAGTCAATAAGTACAAAATTCTGTGTTTTTTTTTCCATAAAGCTTCAGCATTAACAACATGGGTCCAGGGCAACAGGAAAAGGAGCAAAGCCATGAGATGTGGGAGAAGGAAAAAATGAAGCTGTTACTGGATTTATGCCGGAAAGCAGCACTTTACAGAGAACTGAGCTTTCATAGTATTGTGAATCGGCTGATCTCATTGTTTTCTGTTGACAATGTGCATCATCTTCTCCTTGATTTTCATCAGCATGTCAAGAGCACAAAGTGTTTCAGTGTCATTCCAAAACTGAAGGCACTTTATGAGTCAGCTCCTTCAGTCTGGTCCATAGACCTCTCTAAGAGAAAAACCTCCATCCTCCTGGAAGTGCTGAAACTCCAAACTGAGAGGAAACACGTGAAACTGAAAGGTTATCCAGATGAGAGTGAAGTGAAGATTTTCCTTCAGTGTCTGCCTCACATCTCCGACCTCAGGTAAATGAAATTTTTCTGACACATCAGTGTTCACCTGTTGGGATGTCCAATGGTTTATCTAAATAATGTTTTAGATATTGAGGTAAATGTTTTCATTTCATCTCTCTGCTGATTCATGGTCTGTATTCCAGTATATCAAACAGTATTTTCTGTGAAGGTGAGCGTACACCTCTGAAGATTGACTTTAATCATCAACATTTGATAAAGTCTAAAAAAACTTTACATCTGTTGACTTGAATGTTTGTAAATTTAAGACTAAAAACTGATGAATTCAACTGTGTTCTGTTCAAATAAAGTTTTTCTCCTTTTTGAGATTTTGTACACTTCACCAGTTACTCATGTCTCTCATTTTGCTGTTGGCATTACATGATCACAAACCTTTCCTCTTTTTTTATAGTTTCCCTGACCAAGTTGAAGGTGGAGTCAAGTTCTGCAGAGATCTGTTCTGTGCAGCAGCAAAAAGTGATCAATGGACAGGAGGGAACACAGTGGAGCTGTTATTATCAGTGTGCAGATATGAGACTTTCCCCCATTATGACACAGGCGATTCTGATGATGTTCAGTTCAGCGATGATTCACTGCTGGATCTGTACTCCTCAATTAAGACCTATGAGAACAAAACAGGCTTGAGTGTCCTCCCTTCAGTTCAGTCTGTTTTCCAGTCAACTTCTTCAGTCTGGTCCTTAGACCTCTCAAAGAGAAAGACCTCCATCCTCCTGGAAGTGCTGAAACTCCAAACTGAGAAGAAACATATCGAGCTGTGGTGGTGTTCAGAAGAAGAAGATGAAGTGATGGGTTTCCTTCATTGTCTGCCCTATATCTCACAGCTCAGGTAAATAAATCTACTTCCTTATATTTTCTTTTGTAAAGATCATTTTCAGACTGAAGCAGCTCGTTTTGATCCAGTTTATCCGTCTTTGTGTTAAACATTTGATCAAATATCTCAGAAGTTTTTTCAGACAGTTTATAATCTGCTGCAGAGGTTTGAATAAATGTTGACTCCAAAAAACAACCAAGATAATTAGTCACTTTTAGTAAATCTACTTTTACTTTTAGTAAATCTACCTAAACATTTCCTAACAGTTGAACTGCTTTCAGCTGGCCCACAGGTATTTGTAAGTTTGGAGCAGATTAACCTTCATGACATATTACTACTTTTCCTCCTCATCATCATGTCATGCTGAACTTTTGTCACTTTTTTGTCAGTATCTATGAACTTTTGTTTGTTTTTGATCGTCTTTGATTCATAGAAATCTGAATATCATTTAACAGGACCTGTCTATTTTTCTGCTGTGAGCATGAATCCTAACAAAGTTTTACCACTTCAGTTTCAGTTTCTGGTCTGGAGATGACGTCAAGTTCTGTGGGAGTCTGTTCTGTGCAGCAGCAAATGAGGAGAAACAACTGGAGATGTTATTGTCAGTGTGCAGATATGAGACATTCCCCTTTCATGCATATGACTCGACACTCTACCCGGTTGGTTTCCTGCTGGATCTGTACTCCTACATTACAAAGTCATCAACCTACAAAGGATTAAGTGTCCTCCCTTTAGTTCAGTCTTTTTTCCAGTCAACTCCTTCAGTCTGGTACATAGACCTCTCAGAGAGAAAGCCCTCTATCCTCCTGGAAGTGCTGAAACTCCAAACTGAGAAGAAACATGTGGAGCTAAAAGGTTATCCTAATAAGATAAGTGAAGTGAAGATTTTCCTCCTGTGTCTACCCCACATCTCCGACCTCAGGTAAAAGAAGTTTTTCTAATTTTTGAGATTTTATACACTTCACCAGTTACTCATGTCTCTCATTTTGCTGTTGGCATTACATGATCACAAACCTTCCCCCTTTTTTTATAGTTTTCCTGACCAAGTTAAAGGTGGAGTCAAGTTCTGCAGAGTTCTGTTCTGTGCAGCAACAGAGAGTGATCAAGAGACAGGAGGGAACACAGTGGAGATGTTGTTATCAGTGTGCAGATATGTGACTTTCCCCCACCATGACACAGACAATTCTGATGATTTTCAGTTCAGCGATGATTCACTGCTGGATCTGTACTCCTCAATTAAGACCTATGAGGACAAAACAGGATTGAATTTCCTCTCTTTAGTTCAGTCTGTTTTCCAGTCAACTCCTTCAGTCTGGTCCATAGACCTCTCAGAGAGAAAGACCTCCATCCTCCTGGAAGTGCTGAAACTCCAAACTGAGAGGAAACATGTGGAGCTGAAAGATTATCCAGATGATGAAAGTGAAGTGAAGATTTTCCTTCAGTGTCTGCCTCACATTTCTGACCTCAGGTAAAAGAAGTTTCTCCCACACATCAGTTTTCACCTGTTAGCCTGTTCACCTGTGTTTAAATCAGCTTACTGTTTGATTGAAAGTTAAAATAATGAAGAGTAATTATCCAGAGAGTGCATGAGAGGTTTATTAGTAACAGCTAAATATAAAACTAGACCCCAAATAAATACTATCAGACAATGACACAGTTCTCAGTCTGAGCAATAACAACAATTATTCCAAACTCATCATTATTATCACCTTTGTCTGTTTATTCAACATTGTTTTCTTCATGTTATTAATACAATCTCAGCAGTTAATGCTCATGAGCAAACATAACTACTCATATGTTAAATAGATGGTTTTTAATTCTTGGTTTGTTCCTTTTTTTCTAAATATTTTGTAATAATCATGTTTTAAACATCACTGACAGACACCATTTTTACTTCATGTCTTTTTTTATCATCTTTTAATGAAAACACTTTTTAAAAAGTTGTGTTCTGGATCTTTTACCATCATACAAACTCTTTGTACAAAAGCAATGGTGTCATTGAGTTCATGGGTATTTAATAATCTGACTGATGTTTTAGATATTTGGGTAAAGGTTTTCATTTAATCTCTTTGATGATTCATGATCTGTATCCTAGTATATCAAACAGTGTTTTTATGTAAAGGTGAGCGTACACCTCTGAAGATTGACTTTAGTCATCAACATCTGATGAAGGCTACAAATCTCTACATCTGTTGACTTGAATGTTCAGATATTTAGGACTAAAAACTGATGAATTCAACTGTGTTCTGTTCAAATGAAGTTTTTCTCCTTTTAGAGATTTTATACACTTCACCAGTTACTCATGTCTCTCATTTTGCTGTTGGCCTTACATGATCACAAACCTTTCCCCTTTTTTCTATAGTTTCCCTGACCGAGTTGAAGGTGGAGTCAAGTTCTGCAGAGATCTGTTCTGTGCAGCAGCAAAGAGTGATCAAGAGACAGGAGGGAACACAGTGGATCTGTTATTGTCAGTGTGCAGATATGAGACTTTCCCCCGTGATGACACAGACAATTCTGATGATTTTCAGTTCAGAGATGATTCACTGCTGGATCTGTGCTCCTCAATTAAGACCTATGAGAAGAAAACAGGCTTGATTGTCCTCCCTTCAGTTCAGTCTGTTTTCCAGTCAACTCCTTCAGTCTGGTTCGTAGACTTTTCAGAGAGAAAGACCTCCATCCTCCTGGAAGTGCTGAAACTCCAAACTAAGGAGAAACATGTGAAGCTGAAAGATTATCCATATTATGAAAGTGAAGTGAAGATTTTCCTCCAGTGTCTGCCTCACATTTCTGACCTCAGGTAAAAGAAGTTTCTCCCACACATCAGTGTTCACCTGTCAGGCTGTTTACCTTTGTTTAAATCAGCTGACTGTTTGACTGAGGGTAAAAATAATGAAGAGTAATTATCCAGAGAGTGCATGAGCGGTTGTGTAGCTCAATTGAAGTTGACTCATTTGGACAAAGGAAAAGTTCGTTTACTTGTATAAATTTCTGAAGGACCACTATATCATGTTATAACATTTGTAAAAAATCAAAAATGCTAAAAACTTTGTATCCAGAGTTTCAGCCTCTGAAACAAACTGAGGATTTATTATCAGTCGCAGGATTTCTTCGAGTAAGTAAATGAACTGTCACTGAATTAAACGTTGGAAACCTCTTTTTGTCTGATGGAGGAACGAGTAATTCAGCTCATGAGATTTGTAAGCCTCTTTGAAACACATCTGCTGTAAACCATCATCAAACTGAGGTATTTGTTTCATGAGGGGGACATGTTTGATGCAGCTTTTCTATAAAAAGAAGAAACAGATAACAAACTAGTCACCATAAAAGAGCTAATTATGAAACTAGACCTCAAATAAATACTATCAATCAATGACACAGTTCTCAGTCTGCACAATAACAACAATGATTCCAAACTCATCATTATTATCACCTTTGTCTGTTTATTCAACATTGTTTTCTCATTTTGTTTTGGTAAAGGTTTTCATTTAATCTCTTTGATGATTCATGATCTGTATCCTAGTATATCAAACAGTGTTTTTATGTTAAGGTGAGCGTACACCTCTGAAGATTGACTTTAGTCATCAACATCTGATGAAGGCTACAAAAACTTTACATCTGTTGACTTGAATGTTCAGAAATTTAGGACTAAAAACTGATGAATTCAACTGTGTTCTGCTCAAATGAAGTTTTTCTCCTTTTTGAGACTTTGTACACTTCACCAGTTACCCATGTCTCTCATTTTGCTGTTGGCCTTACATGATCACAAACCTTTCCTCTTTTTTTATAGTTTTCCTGACCGACTTGAAGATGGAGTCAAGTTCTGTAGAGATCTGTTCTGTGCAGCAGCAAAAAGTGATCGAGAGACAGGAGGGAACACAGTGGAGCTGTTATTATCAGTGTGCAGATATGAGACTTTCCCCCGTCATGACACAGACAATAATGATTTTATCATCAATGAGTCACTGCTGGATCTGTACTCCTCAATTAAGACCTATGAGAACAAAACAGGCTTGAGTTTCCTCCCTTCAGTTCAGTCTGTTTTCCAGTCAACTCCTTCAGTCTGGTCCATAGACCTCTCAGAGAGAAAGACCTCCATCCTCCTGGAAGTGCTGAAACTCCAAACTGAGAGGAAACATATAAAGCTGTGCAGGTGTTCAGCAGAAGAAGATGAAGTGATCGGTTTCCTTCATTGTCTGCCCTATATCTCACAGCTCAGGTAAATAAATCTACTTCCTCATATTTTCTTTTGTGAAGATGATTATCAGACTGAAGCTGCTCGCTTAGATCCAGTTCATCCTTCTTTGTGTGAAACAATCATCAAATATTTAAGGAGTTGTTTCAGCCAGTTTATGAACTGCTGCAGAGGTTTGAGTTATTATTGACTCCAAAAAACAACCAAGTTGATTAGTCACTTTTAGTAAATCTGCCTAAATGAAAAAACCAACATTTCCCAACAGTTGAACTGTGTTCAGCTGGCCCACAGATATTTGTAAGTTTGGAGCAGATTAACCATCATGACATATTACTACTTTTCCTCCTCATCATCATGTCCTGACAAACTTTTGTCACTTTTTTGTCAGTCTCTTTGAACTTTTGTTTGTTTTTGATTGTCTTTGATTCATAGAAATCTGAATATCACTTAACAGGACCTGTCTATTTTTCTGCTGTGAGCATGAATCCTTACAGAGTTTTACAACTTCAGTTTCAGAAAAAATGACTGGTCTGAAGATACAGTCAGGTTCTGTGGGAGTCTGTTCTGTGCAGCAGCAAATGAGGAGGACCAACTGGAGATGTTATTGTCAGTGTGCAGATATGAGACATTCCCTTGTGCTGACTTTGCGGATATTCGAGAAATTAAGGACAACCAGTGTGATTTCCTGCTGGATCTATACTCCTACATTAAGGAGTCCATAACCTACAAAGGCTTGAGTTTCCTCCCTTCAGTTCAGTCTTTTTTTCGGTCAACTCCTTCAGTCTGGTCCATAGACCTCTCAAAGACAAAGACCTCCATCCTCCTGGAAGTGCTGAAACTCCAAACTGAGAAGAAACATGTGAAGCTGAAAGATTATCCATATTATGAAAGTGAAGTGAAGATTTTCCTTCAGTGTCTTCCTCGCATCTCTGACCTCAGGTAAATGAAGTTTCTCCCACACATCAGTGTTCACCTGTCAGGCTGTTTACCTTTGTTTAAATCAGCTGACTGTTTGACTGAGGGTTAAAATAATGAAGAGTAATTATCCGGAGCGTGCATGAGCGGTTCTTTAGCTACAGTTAGAAATAAAACTAGACCTCAAACAAATACTTTTAAACAATGACACTGTTCTGGATCTTTAACCATCATACAAACTCTTTGTACTAAAGCAATGGTGTCATTGAGTTCATGGGTGTTTAATAATCTGATTTATGTTTTAGATATTTGGGTAAAGGTTTTCATTTCATCTCTCTGCTGGTTCATGATCTGTATCCTAGTATATCAAACAGTGTTTTTATGTGAAGGTGAGCGTACACCTCTGAAGATTGACTTTAATCATCAACATTCGATAAAGGCTACAAAAACACGACATCTGTTGACCTGAATGTTTGAAAATTTAAGACAAAAAACTGATGAATTCAACTGTGCTCTGTTCAAATAAAGTTTTTCTTCTTTTGAGATTTTATACACTTCACCACTTACTCATGTCTCTCATTTTGCTGTTGGCCTTACATGATCACAAACCTTTCCTCTTTTTTTATAGTTTTCCTGACCGACTTGAAGGTGGAGTCAAATTCTGCAGAGATCTGTTCTGTGCAGCAGCAAAGAGTGAGCGAGAGACAGGAAGGAAAAAACTGGAGCTGTTATTTTCGGTGTGCAGATATGAGACTTTCCCCCTTCATGACACAGACAATTCTGGTGATTTTATCATCAATGATTCACTGCTAGATCTGTACTCCTCAATTAAGACCTATGAGAAGAAAACAGGCTTGAGTGTCCTCCCTTCAGTTCAGTCTGTTTTTCAGTCAACTCCTTCAGTCTGGTCCATAGACCTCTCAAAGACAAAGACCTCCATCCTCCTTGAAGTTCTGAAACTCCAAACTGAGAAGAAAGATATCGTGCTGTGGAGGTGTTCAGAAGAAGAAGATGAAGTGATGGGTTTCCTTCATTGTCTGCCCTATATCTCACAGCTCAGGTAAATGAATCTACTTCCTTATATTTTCTTTTGCAAAGATCATTATCAGACTGAAGCAGCTCGTTTTGATCCAGTTTATCCGTCTTTGTGTGAAAGATCTAATCAAATATAAAAGATAGTTTTTTTCAGACAGTCTATAAACTGCTGCAGAGGTTTGAGTTATTGTTGACTCCAAAAAACAACCAAGATAATTAGTCACTTTTAGTAAACTGCCTAAATGAAAAACCAACATTTCCCAACAGTTGAACTATGTTCACTTTGGAGCAGATTAACCATCATGACATATTACTACTTTTCCTCCTCATCATCATGTCCTGACATACTTTTGTCACTTTTTTGTCAGTCTCTTTGAATTTTTGTTTGTTTTTGATCGTGTTTGATTCATAGAAATCTGAATATCACTTAACAGGACCTGTCTATCTTTCTGCTGTGAGCACGAATCCTAACAAAGTTTTACCACTTCAGTTTCAGTTTTGATGACTGGTCTAGAGATGGAGTCAAGTTCTGTGGGAGTTTGTTCTGTGCAGCAGCAAGTGAGGAGGACCAACTGGAGATGTTATTGTCAGTGTGCAGATATGAGACATTCCCTTGTGTTGACTTTGAGGATATTGAAGATATTGAGGACAACCAGTGTGATTTCCTGCTGGATCTATACTCCTACATTAAGAAGTCCATAACCTACAAAGGCTTGAGTGTCCTCCCTTCAGTTCAGTCTTTTTTCCAGTCAGCTGCTTCAGTCTGGTCCATAGACCTCTCAAAGACAAAGACCTCCATCCTCCTGGAAGTGCTGAAACTCCAAACTGAGAGGAAACATGTGAAGCTGAAAGATTATCCATATGATGAGAGTGAAGTGAAGATTTTCCTCCAGTGTCTGCCTCACATCTCTGACCTCAGGTAAAAGAAGTTTCTCCCACACATCAGTGTTCACCTGTCAGGCTGTTTACCTTTGTTTAAATCAGCTGACTGTTTGACTGAGGGTTAAAATAATGAAGAGTAATTATCCAGAGAGTGCATGAGCGGTTGTGTAGCTCAATTGAAGTTGACTCATTTGGACAAAGGAAAAGTTTGTTTACTTGTATAAATTTTCTGAAGGACCACTATATCATGTTATAACATTTGTAAAAAATCAAAAATGCTACAAACTTTGTGTCCAGAGTTTCAGCCTCTGAAGCAAACTGAGGATTTATTATCAGTCACAGGATTTCTTCGAGTTAGTAGATGAACAGCCACTAACCTCTGATTGAGGAACGAGCAATTCAGCTCATGAGATTTGTAAGCCTCTTTGAAACACATCTGCTGTAAACCATCATCAAACTGAGGTATTTGTTTCATGAGGGGGACATGTTTGATGCAGCTTTTCTATAAAAAGAAGAAACAGATAACAAACTAGTCACCATAAAAGAGCTAATTATGAAACTAGACCTCAAATAAATACTGTCAAACAATGACACAGTTCTCAGTCTGTGCAACAACAACAATGATTCCAAACTCATCATTATTATCACCTTTGTCTGTTTATTTAACATTGTTTTCTTCATGTTATTAATACAATCTCAGCAGTTAATGCTCATGAGCAAACATAACTGCTCATATGTTAAATAGATAGTTTTTAATTCTTGGTTTGTTCCTTTTTGTTCTAAATATTTTGTAATAATCGTGTTTTAAACATCAGCGTCAGACACCATTTTTACTTCTTGTCTTTTTTTTATCATCTTTTAATGAAAACACTTTTTAAAAAGTTGTGTTCTGGATCTTTTACCATCATACAAACTCTTTGTACAAAAGCAATGGTGTCATTGAGTTCATGGGTGTTTAATAATCTGATTTATGTTTTAGATATTTGGTTAAAGGTTTTCATTTAATCTCTCTGCTGGTTCATGGTCTGTATCCTAGTATATCAAACAGTGTTTTTCTGTAAAGGTGAGCGTACACCTCTGAAGATTGGCTTTAGTCATCAACATTTGATAAAGGCTACAAAAACTTTACATCTGTTGACTTGAATGTTTGAAAATTTAGGACTAAAAACTGATGAATTCAACTGTGTTCTGTTCAAATAAAGTTTTTCTCCTTTTTGAGATTTTGTACACTTCACCAGTTACTCATATCTCTCATTTTGCTGTTGGCATTACATGATCACAAACTTTTCCCCTGTTTTTTTTTTTCAGTTTTTCTGAGGAACTTGAAGGTGGAGTCAAGTTCTGCAGAGATCTGTTCTGTGCAGCAGCAAAGAGTGATCAAGAGACAGGAGGGAACACAGTGGAGCTGTTATTGTCAGTGTGCAGATTTGAGACTTTCCCCCTTCATGACACAGACAATTCTGATGATTTTCAGTTCTGGGATGATTCACTGCTGGATCTGTTCTCCTCAATTAAGACCTATGAGAAGAAAACAGGCTGGAGTGTCCTCCCTTCAGTTCAATCTGTTTTCCAGTCAACTCATTCATTCTGGATCATAGACCTCTCAAAGACAAAGACCTCCATCCTCCTGGAAGTGCTGATACTCCAAACTGAGGAGAAAGATATCGAGCTGTGGAGCTGTTCAGAAGAAGAAGATGAAGTGATGGGTTTCCTTCAGTGTCTGCCCTATATCTCACAGCTCAGGTAAATAAATCTACTTCCTCATATTTTCATTTGTAAAGATGATTATCAGACTGAAGCAGCTCATTTTGATCCAGTTTATCCGTCTTTGTGTTAAACATTTGATCAAATATAAAAGATAGAAGTTTTTTCAGCCAGTTTATAATCTGCTGCAGAGGTTTGAGTTATTGTTGACTCCAAAAAACAACCAAGATAATTTGTCATTTTGAATAAATCTTTATAAATGAATGAATCAACATTTCCTAACCACCAAATCAGTTTATTTATTAAGGAAAAGGAGACTACTTTGAAGCAGCTAACATGGTGACAAATAAATCACATGAAAGAGCTCAAATACTAAAATCAATGACTGTTATTGATAAATGATTTAAAAATCTGTTTTTAATTAGTTGAAACTTGAGTCAGTTAATAAACAGAAGCTTGAACTCGATGAAGTTGAGTTAGTTGAATAAAATGTAGAAAGATCAAAGTTGAACTCCAGTCCTCATGGTGTGAGATGATTGATTCTTTGGTTGATTGGTGAAGGTTTGCTTTTGGTCATCCTGCTGGTTGGTGAACTTTATCCCAGTAAATCAAACAGTCTCTCTTTTTTTTTGTATTCAAAGTGGAGGAAACACCTTTGTAGACAGAATCCAGCCCTCAGGCTTTTTGTTGAGAGTTTCATATGTGACAGTTTGATCAAAATGATCAGAATCTTCCTCTATTCAAAGTAACTTTTTTTTTTATTATATCAGTTTAACTGTGTTCAGCTGGCCCACAGATATTTGTAAGTTTGGAGCAGATTAACCATCATGACATATTACTACTTTTCCTCCTCTTCATCATGTCATGATGAACTTTTGTTTGTTTTTGATTGTCTTTGATTCATAGAAATCTGAATACCACTTGGCGGAACCTGTCTATTTTTCTGCTGTAAACATGAATCCTGACATAGTTTTACCACTTCAGTTTCAGTTTTGATGACTGGTCTGGAGATGACGTCAAGTTCTGTGGGAGTCTGTTCTGTGCAGCAGCAAATGAGGAGGGACAACTGGAGCTGTTATTGTCAGTGTGCAGATATAAGACATTCCCTTGTGTTGACTTTGCGGATATTAAAGATATTGAGGACAATCAGTGTAATTTCCTGCTGGATCTATACTCCTACATTAAGAAGTCCACAACCTACAAAGGCTTGAGATTCCTCCCTTCAGTTCAGTCTGTTTTCCAGTCAACACTTTCAGTGTGGTCCGTAGACCTCTCAGAGAGAAAGACCGCCATCCTCCTGGAAGTGCTGATACTCCAAACTGAGAAGAAACATGTGAAGCTGCACGGCTGTTTAGCAGAAGAAGATGAAGTGATCGGTTTCCTTCATTGTCTGCCCTATATCTCACAGCTCAGGTAAATAAATCTACTTCCTCATATTTTCTTTTGCAAAGATCATTATCAGACTGAAGCAGCTTGTTGTGATCCAATTCATCCTTCTTTGTGTGAAACAATCATCAAATATTTAAGGAGTTGTTTCAGCCAGTTTATAAACTGCTGCAGAGGTTTGAGTTGTTGTTGACTCCATAAAAACAACCAAGATGATTAGTCACTTTGAATTAACCTGCCTAAATGAAAGAACCAACATTTTCTAACGTGGAGGAAACACCTTTGTAGACAGAATCCAGTCCTCAGGCTTTTTGCTGAGAGTTTCATTTGTGACAGTTTGATCAAAGTGATCTGGATCTTCTTCCATCCAAACGAGTAACTTCAGTTTTTCATTATATCAGTTTAACTGTGTTCAGCTGGCCCACAGATATTTGTAAGTTTGGAGCAGATTAACCATCATGAAATATTACTACTTTTCCTCCCCCTCATCACGTCATGATGAACTTTTGTCACTTTTTTGTCTGTATCTATGAACTTTTGTTTGTTTGTAATTGTCTTTGATTCATAGAAATCTGAATATCACTTGACGGAACCTGTCTATTTTTCTGCTGTGAGCATGAATCCTAACAAAGTTTTACCACTTAAGTTTCAGTTTTGATGACTGGTCTGGAGATGTCGTCAAGTTCTGTGGGAGTCTGTTCTGTGCAGCAGCAAATGAGGAGGAACAACTGGAGCTGTTATTGTCAGTGTGCAGATATGAGACATTCCCCTTTCATTGCATGAGGGATACAGACCAATGTAGTTTCCTGCTGGATCTGTACTCCTACATTGTGACCTATGAGAAGAAAACAGGCTTGAGTGTCCTCCCTTCAGTTCAGTCTGTTTTCCAGTCAACTCCTTCAGTGTGGTCCATAGACCTCTCAAAGACAAAGACCTCCATCCTCCTGAAAGTTCTGAAACTCCAAACTGAGGAGAAACATGTGAAGCTGCATGGCTGTTTAGAAGAAGAAGATGAAGTGAAGAGTTTCCTCCAGTGTCTGCCCTATATCTCACAGCTCAGGTAAATAAATCTACTTCCTTATATTTTCTTTTGTAAAGATGATTATCAGTCTGAAGCAGCTTGTTGTGATCCAGTTTATCCATCTTTGTGATAAACATTTGATCAAATATCTAAGAGAAGTTTTTTCAGCCAGCTTACAAACTGCTGCAGAGGTTTGAATAAATGTTGACTCCATGAAACAACCAAGATAATTAGTCACTTTGAATGAATCTGCATAAATGAAAGAACCAACAGATCCTAACCATCAACCAAGATCAATGACTGTTATTGATGAATGATTTAAAAATCTGTCTTTAATTAGTTGAAACTTGAGTCAGTTAATAAACCGAAGCTTGAACTTGATGAAGTTGAGTTAGTTGAATAAAATGTAGAAAGATCAAAGTTGAACTCCAGTCCTCATGGTGTGAGATGATTGATTCTTTGGTTGTTTGGTGAAGATTTGCTTCTGGTCATTCTGCTGGTTGGTGAACTCTATCCCAGTAAATCAAACAGTCTCTCTTTCTCTCTTTTTTTAACTCTGTATCATTAAGATGTATTTGTGTTTCTAGAAAAATAGTAAAACTAATAATTATAATAATAATAGTAATAATAATAATAATAGCTATATCGTGGGTCTTTCAAAATCAGTTTTTTTATATTCTTTGATATATTTTTTCTAGTGCTCCTACATCTTCTGTTTTCACCCTTTTTCTGAATTGTCCTTTTTCAGCTGTGGTCCAGAGTTTTTCCAGAGCGTCTGTACATCTGTCTCAGTCAGATCCAAACAGGAGGCTGAGCAGGTGGCTTTCCTGCTGCAGCTGCTTGGGTTTAACCTTCAGTTAAAAGGAAAGTTGCTCAGTCAAACATGCCGGTCTGTAGAACAAGTTCTTGATCTTTGTGGTCCTAGTGTGGATCTCATCCTCACACTCCAAAAAATATCAGCTAGAGGCGCCTTACTTTTATTCAGAAAAACAAGAAAACTACGCAGTCTGAGGTTTGTATCAAACACTTACTGTCTTTTTCTTCAAACAAAACCATATTGAATTTCCCCTCAGAGATAAATAAAGTTCTTCTTTATTTAGAAAAGTTCTTCTCTTGTCTTCATCCACCCTAAATATCTTTATCAAACCTCAGACTTTCTCTCCATGTGTTTAATTTTCAGACTTTCCACTGACATGGCCTTGACTCTTTCTCGGTGGGTGAAAAGAGGGAGAGTGGCCCCCCTGTCTGTTACTGATGAGCTCTCTCTTGTCTCGGAGACAATCCAACGTTCAGAGAGAGTATGGCTGAAGGTTGTCAGTAGTTTGGCATACCTGCTGAGACACTGGACAGTCAGACAGTTAGACCTGACCGAGTCCACGATCCCTGCTCAGGCTCTGATTCCACTACTGCTTCATAACAGCCCTCTGACAATCAAGTACGTGTTTTCCTGTATCTCTGAATCACTTATTGGTGTGATAAGAAATATGTAATTGACTTTTTTAAGATATGACCACATTTTTTCTTTCAACAGACTGAATGAGAAGACTTTTGAGCTGCTACTTAACATCCTCAATGAAACTCAGGATGAGAATTTGACCAGGTCTTTCTTAAGTAAGATCAATGGAGACCTGACCCCCTTTTCTCTGAACTGGGAGCTTCTGCATTTTCTTTTGCAGCAGTCTTCACCTCAGATTTTGACTGTGAACATGAGGGAAAACAGCTTCCCAGAGAGGAGCTTCGCATATCTGCTTCCTGATCTGGACAGGGTTGTATTTGAAAGGTTGGTTTGTTTACCTTGATTAAAAGTTCATTCTTATCATTAACCTCTGGTTTTGTGTGGCTTGTCTTCTCCAACAGTTCTTTTAAAACTTTATATTTATTAATTTGAATCTATTACAAAATACAAATAAAGAAACGAGCACAGACCAACAATGAAAAAAAATTCTGTTCAGAACAGGAAAAACAGATTAAGGCGATGGGTCACATTGGTTTCTGAGGTACAGTTAAAGAGTCCATATCCTTGTCAGGGGAATTGCTCTCTTCATTGTTTCGTCATCTGCTGCCAGGATGGTCTGTGGAGAACTTGTGTTCAGTAGTCTGATTTCAATGCGCTATCTTTCCTGAGGTGGTTAATGTGAACCATTTGTGATTTAAAAGTTGGCGTTTGAAGGGGGAGCAAAGACTTAATCAGAGTAATTACCTTTCTTTGTAGACTAAGGGTCATATACATGACATGGTTTGTCTCTACACACAAAAGTTATAAGCCTTTACTTCTTCTGGCTTTGTGCATGAGTGCATTTAAAGTTTGAATCCTTTGAATTGTTCCATAAATGAAACTCCTGCTAATATACTTTCAGGCCCTCTTCCAGCTTTGTGCTGACTGTCATCAGAGAGATCTACAAAGCTCGAGCCAGTTCCATTATACCCGGTTTACTGAGGTCATGTGATGATGTGATCAACTTGACCTGCAAACAGTTGAACTCGGAGGACTGTGCTGCTCTACTCTACACCCTCGAACACAGTGATGGAGTTAAGCTGAACCTCCTGCGGACTCTCATACCACCAGGGGAAATCAACTTGATCCTCTCTGTGCTGAACAAAGTTTCTCATCTCAGGTCAGACATTAATGCAGATATGCATCTATTTTTTTTGTCAACAATGTGTTAATGAATAAATTCTCCCACAGTGTTGACAGGAAGCTGCTGCTGGAAATTTTGCACAGCTGTGCTGCCTCTGATGCTGTGGAGGAGAAAGCCGTCAGTCTGCTGAGAGCTCTGCAGCACAGGTTGGATCTGTCATGCTCCTCTTGTGTGGAGATGTCAGAGGAGGGTCAGAGTGAGACTTTCTGTCTGACTGTTGCAGACTGTCGGGTCATCTCCACCGTCCTGAGGTACAGCAGCCAGGACACAGAACTCAATCTGCAGGACTGTGTGGTGGAGTCCAGTGGACTGGACCTGCTGTCATCTGTCCTAAACAGAGTCAAGCTCAGGTGGGGAACCAAAAAATAACCAAGACCATGGCTTTAGCTGAAACAGCTTTTTTGACCCATTTTCACACTCTTAACACCCTGTTCTTTGCTTTTTTTTCTCCTGCATAGAGCAAGCAAAGTTGTTGTCCTCCAGCTGATGTCAATGTTGGACGATGAGTTTGACGGGTGGAGTCGGGCTGAGTCCCTTCATAGAGCCCTGGGTGGAGAGCTGAATTTCAGTCACACTAAACTGGACCAGAAGGCGTGTGAAAGTTTGGCCCTGATGCTGGACTTTGTTGAGGAGGTGACGGAGCTCGACCTTAGTCACTGCCGGCTAACTGACCAGCTGCTGTGCACACTCATCAAGTCTCTGCACAAAGTGAAAGTCCTTGAGTGAGTTCATTAAAGAAACAATTATGTAACTCAGTGTCAGCTAGAGCAGGAGTGGGTGAGTGAGGCAATAATGTAGAAATACAATACAAGGATTAATCATGAAAACAGACATCTTATCATGGTCTTTATCATCTTTGGAGAAATCAGTGAATAAGAGGCGAGACAATTTTAGGGTCAAATGTTTATGAATTCTGTCGAAACACTGACCTCTGATCGGTGCCAACTCTGATGACCAACAAAGATGAAGACAGCACATGCACCTGCAGAATCCTCCATCATGAAATGTCTGTTCCAAGATTATAAAATATTTATCAAGAAAAAATAAGATGTGAGGACCCACATACAGGAGAAAATGTCCTCAATCATTGATTGGCATTGACACAAGTTTAAGGTGCAAATAACTGAGCTGTGTTCACTTGACAGTTCATCAAGCCGCAGAGTCAGTAGACTTTAATAACAATCATAATGATAATGATAAACATCTGTTAAAAATAGGAGGCTGGTAAAGTGAAGTGTTTATCAGACTGAAGGAAAGAAGCCAACCTTCTGTGTAAGTTGTTTTTGTTATATTTACTTAAGAGGTCAGTTTGTCAGAGTAGGTCTTAGCGATTACACTTGAACTTGATCCATGATTGTTTTGTGCTTGTGAAAAACCAACATCACTTACACCAGCAGCAGACTGAAATGATGTTTCACTTCTTTGTTTGTGTGTTTTTCACAGTCTGAGTCACAATAGGATCACTGGTGCATCAACATCCATGTTGCTCGAACTGATCTCCAACGACTCCTGTACTGAGACAGTGCGGTGAGCATGGATACATTTTCCTTTATGCAGACATTTAAAGTAGGGCTGCACAATATACTGTTTGAGCATCGTCATCGTGATGTACGTGTGCGTGATAGTCACATACAGAGCCTGTCGGAGGCAAATGAACTCATCAAATTTCAAGGGTAGCTGACTGAGATACGCTACATGTGACTCTGTATGTGCTGTGCAGCGATCCACCAATCACATTCGTTCTTTATTCAGTTGCCAATCAGGCTACCCTGCCAGCTGTCAATCAAAATCAGAGAAAACGCAGAAAATCAAACGCATGTCTGCTGAGAATTACTTTTGGAAGATTACTCATCACTGATTAGCTCCACAAGTAAGAATTGTATGGGTTTTAAGTTGTACATTTCTGTGGACCACTCCACTATAAGTGGTGCGCATTTCTGCGAGGTGCATGCACTCCTCGGTGGACATGTGTTTCTCGTCACAACACAGGTAACAACAATGACTGCAAAATGAGAAACAAAACAAGAGAAAACCACTGAGCATGAATACTTGTTGGTAAAATGAGGAGGAAAGTCACTTACCGCAGAAGATGAATACTTGTTGGCAAAAAGAAAAGCAGAGTTACTTATCATCAATTATTTCGGTTACAAGAAGGATGACGTCACCAAGCACCTGTTCTGTCAGCAGTGCCTTTCATTCGTTGCCACAAGGAGAGCTAACAAGTCCTAGCACAATAAAATCAAGCTAAAAATATCTCTGAGAAAGACAGAAGTCATTCTACTAACATTCACTAAAAGAGGTAAGATCAGTGCCGGTGAACTGTCCTCAAGATTTCAGGAGTGGAGCATAACAGAAAGTGCTGTTCAGGTCATCTGGTGAAAATTCCTCTGTTTTTTTCCAATATCAAGCAGCCTTAATTTAAAGTGATTTTCCGGCAGATCAACCACTTAACATTACAGCATACTAAATTTACAGTGGATCTAGTTATTCTGGCTGAATGAGTGATGTCTGCTCTCCCGGTCTTGTTTTTATATTTCTAGACTCTTGGGGAACACCATTGTGGATCAAACACCTTTTAAGGAGAACAAGCACTTTGCAATCTGCTGAACTGGATGTCCCTGTGGTGGTAATGTGATGCTCAGAGGAAAAATGTTCGATAATCTCTGAATCATCTGTTGTTGATGTACATCCAGATACGAAGAGGTATGGAGAAGCACTACCTCTTTTTGTTTTGTATTTTTTAATGGTGTAGATGACAGAATTTCCTGATAGTTAAGCAGAAGTCACAAACTTAACATCAGAAAGATTGTTCTGTCAGAAATATGAAGAAATTTTACTTGAATGGTGAATGTCTTTAAGGTGAGGTTGATACCTTTCTAAATTTTACGATGATTGTATTTTTATATACATGTTAATCGAATGTATGTTTGAATTTTGACAACAATTCTGTGGCGTGACAACATTTATTTCTTCAGAACAGCCAGGAGGAAATGTACACAAATATTCAGCTCCTGTGAGGAATGTTTTGTTTGTGTCAATTTTGGTTTATGTGATTTCTTTTACATCTTATCCTGTACATGAGTTAGTACTGTTTCTTGTCATAAGAGTTCCTCTAACAGTCAAATATATTTTCTCCTGGGAATCTTTACTGTTAAAAAAAGTTATAAAGCATATTTAGGCATTTGTTTTCATTAATACTAACTAATAATACTAATACTAACTAATACTAAATACTAAATACTAAACTAATACTAACTAATACCCAAACCTAACAAAGACAATCTGATGCATTGTTTTTAAAAGATTTTGGCAGAGCTTGTGTAATTTTGTTTCTGAGAATATTGACATTGATTTTGTGTTACTGTGGAGGAATGTTGTGTTTGGTATCTTGGAAAGTGACGGTACAGAGAAGAACATACATTATTTTATTTTTATATCTGCCAAATCTCGTATTCATCATTGTGAGTTCACAAACAGGAAACCCCACTTTATTGCCTTTGATAGAGAGATCCGAGGAAACATTCACTCAATCAAATATTCTGAAAAACCCAAAGCAATGAGGGGAAAGTGGGGTAAGATGAGCCGTTTTTCATATTTCAGATCACTACATCAAGTCAACCATAGTTTTGTCTCTAACTCGTGTATCTGCAGATATTTTAAGATGTTGTTCATCCCTGCAAACCAACAGAGAGTGTAAACAGAACTGTCTTGATAATGGAGCATGCAAAAAAGTGGTCTCCTATGGTTACCCTTTGGTTCAACTTACCCCACTCTCTACTTTGTGTCCCCTAACAATGTTCTTCTATTTTTTCCTTTCTTTTCTCTTTTCTGTTTCTACGATATGCACTTTGTATTATCCGTTTACGTGTGTATTTATCGATTGTAATTGCAATAGATGATAAAGTTGTTTAAAAAAAAACAAAAACGTTGTTATCGCGTTGATTTCTCGCGAGACTGAACGTCGAAACAGGTGCATTGTGGGAAGCAGACTCTGACGCCTTCTGTTGATAACTCGATATTAAATGCGATTTATTCCTGCAAGTGCAAGCTAAAATGCACAAAACAGTCGAGATTGAATAATTTCTTCGTCTACGACAAACAATTTCCGTCAGCAGTTGTCAGGTCAGACTGGTAACATGGAGGCTGGTGAAGGTAAAGTACAGTTTTATTAAGTCGACGTTAAAATCTAGAGATGGTGATGCTAATGCAGGGGGATACACGGAGATGTTAGCTTTAGCATCACAGTTTATACATGTTTAGTCCTCTTAGCTACCTCTTCTGCAGCTGTTTGAGGCTGTTTTACTCTGACAGTCAGTCAGCTTTAACAGTTTTTTTTTTAAATAAATTGTATATGGCTTCAGGCTTTCTTGTGTGTCATATTCATATCAAATCTGAGGTGAAGTACTCTAGCGTAACTGAAAAAATTAAGAAATTTCTTGTATTTGACAGGGGTATGAATAATTCTGGGCTTAAGTGTAGTCCATGGACAGGGTGCATTCCTCATATGGAAAAAATAAATAGTATACAGTTTGTGTTAAAAACTGCCGTCATCGCTGTTTGATTTTTAAGCATCACATATTGACATTAAACAGTCATTTAAATAAGGATAATCATTCGGAAGGTAATCCTTATGAGAAAGTGAGACAGCCAGGTGTGATGACGCGCTCCTCTCTGACAGGTGTAAGCAGTGCCACGCCCACAGAGGAGATGAACGGGGCTGGAAACTTGATGGATTTCCTGGATGAGCCTTTTCCTGATGTGGGCACATACGAAGACTTCCACACCATAGACTGGCTGAGGGAGAAATCCAGAGACACAGACCGCCACCGCAAGGTTTGATCAGGTTTCCTTTATCTACACAGGTGTAAGAAATTCTAGGTTGTTTGATATTTCTCTTGTGTCTTTGGTGGAGTTCGATTCCCATGTCAGCTCTGATCTTCCTGAGATTCTTTAGGCTGTCAGAGCTATCAGCTGTTCAGAGGAAAAAGTCTGAAACAATAATATATATTTTTTGCCTTGTTTTTCTATCAGATCACCAGTAAAAGTAAAGAGTCCATCTGGGAGTTGATTAAGAGCCTGCTGGATGCCTGGTCAGGATGGGTGGTAATGCTGCTCATTGGGCTCCTCTCAGGTCAGTTGAGGGGGAAGAAAGCACCTTGCACTTTAATTTATTTAAGATGACATGGATAAAAACATGACTGTAACTCTAAGTAATTGCTGCAAGATGTTAAACAGCATTTATCTGAATTCGTACCTGAAAGTTTTCTGTTTCTTGCAGGTACATTGGCTGGAGTGATTGACCTGGCTGTTGACTGGATGACAGACCTGAAGGAAGGAGTGTGTCTGTCTGCATTTTGGTACAGCCACGAGCAGTGCTGCTGGACATCCAATGAGACCACCTTTGATGACAGAGACAAGTGTCCGCAGTGGCAGAAGTGGGCTGAGCTGATGACCGGCCACGCTGAGGTCCGACCTGACTCTCATTATGGTAGAAATTACAGAGGGTGGAAATGAGTTCAGCAGGCAAATGAGTAAATCAGTGATTAATCGAGCTGCAACCCTCGTTCCTTTAGGATGTAGGAATTAGATATGACATTAAATGGAGGCAACGTAAATGTGGGAGAACAGCTACAGGAAAGGTTAAAGTGATATCGAGCTTGTAAATGGCAAGTAATCGCTCAACGGCGATAAAGGAAACGTGGATTATCAACAATAAATAAAATGTATTTGTCTTTCTTCCTTCAGGGAGCGGGGGCATACGTGTTGAACTACTTCCTGTACATTCTGTGGGCTCTGCTGTTTTCCTTCCTGGCCGTGTCTCTGGTGCGGGTTTTCGCTCCGTATGCCTGCGGCTCTGGAATCCCAGAGGTGACAGAAACACTGTTCATAAATACATAACAAGATAATCTGCAGTCACTCTGCATACCTGTTGGACACCAAATATTAATACCAGAGATAATGAAACTCATGACTAGTTGCAGCTCTCAGAGATATTTCTGAGGTGGAACAGTGTGTTAACAGATATCAATTAACTTTTGGCTCCGTGCAGATTAAGACAATCCTCAGTGGCTTCATCATCCGAGGATACTTGGGGAAATGGACTCTGCTGATTAAGACCGTCACCCTGGTTCTGGCAGTGTCGTCAGGTCTCAGCCTGGGAAAAGAGGGTCCTCTGGTCCACGTGGCCTGCTGCTGTGGGAACCTCTTCTGCAGCCTCTTCTCCAAGTACAGCAAGAATGAGGGCAAGCGCAGAGAGGTACGCTTGTGCTTGTAAAACTCGACCGACAAAACACCAGAAGAAGCGGCCGATCATCAAATGTATTCACATGTCTAAAGTATTTCAGGTCCATTTCAGGTCCTTATTTATGATGATACAAAGTGTTTTATTGCTCAGGATTACATTATTAAAAAATACATTTCCAATTCATAACACTGTAACTGCATAAAGTAATGCATTTCCTAGTTTGAGACAAATTTCACCCCAGAGGTCAGGAGTCATTGTTGAGTGGAAGAAGCTAACTTTATGCTAACTGTCTGTCCTCTGACCCTTCAGGTGTTATCAGCTGCAGCAGCAGCGGGAGTGTCGGTGGCCTTTGGTGCGCCGATAGGAGGAGTTTTGTTCAGCTTAGAAGAGGTTTGTTCACAGTCTTGTGATAATAGTGTTGGGCGGTATGAACAAAGTCTTATATCACGATATGGGTAATTTCATATCACATTAACGATGTATACGGTATGTTATTTCCCCTGTAAATTAATGGCTTAAAAATAACCACACTCTCACATTTGTTCCTTTTCCTTTTACTTTTAAACTCCGATTTTTATACAAATGTAAACTAAATGTCAGACCAGTCTGGCGATTTTTTATCATATGGCGTACCTTTGGCGAAAGACTCTGCCAAGCTCTTTAGTATGAGAAGAGCTGCTGCAGCTTTAGTTTTTGGTGCAGCAGGTGCGTCACGCATCTTTTGGCTCTCATAATAGAGCTTGGCGTGTTTCATCTTTCATCTCATGTGTCCCTCAGGCTCTTTCCTTGTTCTATAGTTTAGATTTCGTTTCTCTCTTCCTGTCCTCCATAATAAGTATCCCTCTCTTTCCTGCAGGTCAGTTATTACTTCCCTCTCAAGACTCTGTGGCGTTCATTCTTCGCCGCACTGGTTGCCGCCTTCACTCTGCGGTCTATCAACCCGTTTGGCAACAGCCGCCTGGTACTCTTTTACGTGGAGTATCACACGCCCTGGTACATGGCTGAGCTGGTCCCATTCATCCTGCTCGGCGTTTTTGGAGGCCTCTGGGGGACCCTCTTCATCCGAGCCAACATTGCCTGGTGCCGTCGGAGGAAGACCACTCAGCTGGGGAAGTACCCTGTCCTGGAGGTTATTGCTGTGACAGGTATCACAGCCGTGCTGGCGTACCCAAACCCGTACACCCGCCGCAGCACCAGCGAGCTGATCTCTGAGCTCTTCAACGACTGTGGCGCGCTTGAGTCATCCCAGTTATGTGATTATATTAATAACCCAAACATGAGTCGACCTGTGGATGACATTCCGGACCGCCCAGCGGGACCCGGGGTCTACAACGCCCTGTGGCAGCTGGCCCTCGCACTTGTCTTCAAGATCGTCATCACCATCTTCACTTTCGGCATGAAGGTTAGTGCAAACGTCTGATCTTGAGGATTTGTTCAAATTGGTTTCTTAAACAGTTATTTTTCAGGAGTCTCGCTAATGAGTTTATTTGTTGGCATGAGGATCCACCAAACTACCAGAGTAATCTTTTAACCAAGACTGAGATCGACTTGCAGGATTCAATCACAACCAAATCTTTATTCCTCTTGGTGGTCATGCTTCTTCTCCAGATCCCATCAGGTCTCTTCATTCCCAGCATGGCTGTTGGAGCGATCGCAGGAAGGATTGTTGGGATCGCCGTGGAGCAGATGGCGTATCACCACCACGACTGGATCATCTTTAAGAACTGGTGCCGGCCCGGGGCAGACTGTGTCACACCTGGCCTGTACGCCATGGTGGGAGCCGCCGCCTGTTTAGGTGAGAAGATCCATCTCATCAAACATTGTGTCTCTGTCTCTGTCTGTTCGACCACTTATGTGACGTAGATATTATGTTAATGTGCATATAGGGTTGCGAAATACCCGGAATTCCCAACTCTCCCAACTCTCCATGGGAAAGTCAAGAAGTCAAGTACAGTTTCCAATTTGGAATATTTCCTAAATTCCCCAGCTTAACTCCCCATGGAAAGTTTCCGGAAATTTTCCGCCCCTTTGCAACCCTATTAGCTTATCAACATTTCAGATCCCAGCTTTAAACAACTTGGATTCGTTGTAATGAAGACATCTGCAGCTGATCTTGAAATGTATGAAGATAAATTGAATTAAGTCCTTCAGGGTCCATTTGTGTCATCAGGAGTCTTTCCACAACGTACGGTCGCACATAAAATCACAGAGATACTCAAAACAGTTGAAAATTACCGTGACTCCATCTGAACTTTATCTAAAACATACAATCTTTGACAACATCCTTTTAGGTGGAGTGACCCGGATGACCGTCTCCCTTGTGGTCATCATGTTTGAGCTCACTGGCGGTTTGGAGTACATTGTGCCGCTGATGGCTGCCGCTGTTACGAGTAAGTGGGTGGCAGACGCCTTTGGAAAAGAGGGCATCTACGAATCACACATTCAGCTCAACGGCTACCCCTACCTGGACGTCAGGGACGAGTTCACCCACCGCACCCTGGCCACTGATGTGATGCGACCTCGCAGGAACGATCCTCCGCTGGCCGTCCTCACACAGGACAGCACCACAGTGGAGGATGTGGAGACGCTGATCAAAGACACTGATTATAACGGCTTCCCTGTGGTCGTTTCCAGAGAGTCAGAGAGACTCATAGGCTTCGTTCAGCGCCGGGACCTCACCCTCGCCATCAGTAAGTCAAATAGCCTCCTGGCATTACAGCTGCATACATTTCTATTTTCCAACCAGACCTGAAGATGTTTAACCAGACGTCTCTCATCTGTCTTCAGAGAACGCTCGTCAGAAGCAGGATGGCGTGGTGAGCAGCTCCGTGGTCTACTTCACTGAGGACGCGCCACAGCTACCCGCCAGTAATCCACAGCAGTTAAAACTGCGACGCATCCTCAACCTCTCTCCCTTCACTGTCACCGACCACACGCCCATGGAGACGGTGGTGGACATCTTCCGTAAGCTTGGCCTCCGCCAGTGTCTTGTTACTCGGAGCGGGTAAGAACTGACTCCTCCAGAGGACCATCACTCCAGTAATCCGTTTCGGTTTCAGTTCATTTATTTTATTTTTCATATCAAGAAGTTCAGAAAGCAAATATTTAGTTTATTGACCTTTAAATAAATTTGGTAGTAAGTTAACAAACAACAAGCAAATGTTTGAGACCGGTCAAGATTACTTCTGTGACGTCGTAAGACATCAAATTATTCTTTATAAGCAGAAACGTCTTTCTCTTTCTTTTTGTCCTCAATCTAAAGCAGCTGATAGAGTAAAAGGAAAATAGGACATGAGCTTCAGTTGAGATGAAAATAATAATTTACTGATGATCCAAATATTCTCTTCGATGGAGTAACAGCGCCCTCTTATGGTCAAACCATGGAGGTCACTGAAAACGAGCCGAACAGGAATGTCGTCATCGAGCTGGAATGATAATTATTCTTTTGGGTTTATAGATGAGAGTTATTGGTTTTGTGCTAAAAAAAGGTTTAAAAAAAAAGGATGAATTGTATGAAAAAAAAAAAACTGAGAAAGGTACGAGACGATCTTCATAGAGGAGAAGTTGGAGCCAGGTTTTGTTTTAAGTTTCTCACATCACCTCGCTCTCTAAGTCAAAGGTAGGATGTTGATTATTTTACACATCAGTGAGGGTCTTCTCCTTTCCTCTGATTCATTTCCAAACGAGTGGAGTGACCTCTGACCTTGTCCATCTCTTTCTCTCTGTCTGTTCAGGCGTCTTCTAGGAATCATCACCAAGAAGGACGTTCTGCGACACATGGCCCAGATGATGAACCAGGATCCAGAGTCTATTATGTTCAATTAGCAGACAGGAAATCTAGTTTTGCTCCTCTGATGGTGTACATATGTGAAACTGGTACAACACTACTGTACTGCAACCTGTGAAAAGTTCCTCCCAGCTCCTGACAGGCAAGTCCCTCCCTGTAGCATCAACAACAACACTCCTGCTCCTCCTGCTTTCAGTGTAACTGTGCTGGAGTATCTAACCAGCGGCAGATAGCTTTTACTTCAATGTTTTTACAGTGAAAACCCCAAAAGAAAAGCTGTTTGCAGACTGAATGAAAAGATCAGATGATTAAAGCTTCTTTTTCTTTATTTTGATAACTTGAAAGTACGAGCAAGACAACTGAGAGTTTAGCACACTGAATGGTCGTCGTGCCAAACTCGAGCCCTCCCACAGTCATTCATGAAGCGCTGCTAATGATCAAAAACACTCTGAAGGAGAAGCTGAGACTGATTTAATGTTTGAAACTTGAAGACTAAGCTGAAGTGTTTGAGTGGGCGGAGCCACAGAGGAGAATAGTTAGTGTACAGACCTGTAAAAGGTTTTGATAATCATGGGGGGGGGGTAACTCTGTTCAAACAGGAAATACGGGGTCAAACTGAAACAAAATGTGCCTGAAAGAGGCATAAAAATGTTGACACCTGAAACCGAGCGTGTGGGATTTGTGGTCATTTAAAGCAGAGGTAGATTCAACCATCTCAAAAAAACAAAAACGAAACCTAATTTGAAGTGTGTCGTTAATTATTACACAAAAATCTGTCAAATTCTGAGGGTTTTAAAGACAAAACGGTACATGTGCATTAGTGGTGAATAAAACACTGGGACCATTTAGGAAGTTTGGGACTGCTGCACTTTGTTTTTAGACTAACTATTGTTTTGTGTAATTTTGTGTTGCTGCCATATTTATATTGAAGTTGCTCATGTGTTTTTAAGCATCAGAGGCAACTCTTTTTTTTTTTTTTCTGTTACTTCAGTCTGACGGCACAAAAGGTGACACTACATGTTCTTTGTACCGAAGTACCAGAAGACTGTTTGTTGTTAATTTAACCGTGTCAAACTGTTGGTGGAAGCCTAAAAAAAGGAGTGTGATGGAAACGAGTTTGAGTGTATAATTTTTAATATTTTGTTGAAGTGTTAACTGTTTTGCCAGAGACCTCATAAGTTCCTCCATCAGGTTTATTCATTCAGTCCTGGGGGGGAGTTAAAAAAGCTACTGTGGTTTAAAAAGTGAATTCTCACAAGAAAGAGCGGATGATTTCTTTTTTTTTTTTTTTTTGCCTGTAAATATCCTCAGGAGTGAAAAAGGATGCATCAGTTTGTCCCTTCAGAAAAAAGTGCTTTCTGACCCTTTTTACCCTCACATTTTCAGCGACGTCTTTTCACTCGCACTGTTTTCAGCCCAGTAGGTCACTCCAGAGGACTCGGTTCTCCGTTCTTCAAAAAATGATGAAAAACTTGAACACGAAATGTAAAATAAGTTGAATCTCTTTTATTCTGTTTTGCCGTTTAACCCCAAATTCACAGATAACTCTATCAGAGACTTTGTGACTCTAACAGCAGTCTCGTAGGCAGCTGCTGAAGGAAATCATCTGACGTTAAAAAGGATCCAAATCAAACTACATTGATTCCTTTCACTTTCATAAATACAGAAATATTATAGGGGAAATGACTGCATATTCAGTGTTTTTATCCTCATCTCCATTTCCTGTGCTGTGTTTTTGATGTAAGAAGAAGAATCCTCCGCTGCTAACAGTTCATGAAAACTGAAAACTCTATATCGAAAAACACACTCCACGTTGAAGAAAATAACCAAGAGTTTGCTTTTACTTGCCAAGAGAATGTATTTCAAAATTAACCGTGTTGTATGTATTTGAAATGTATTGTGAGCGTTTTTAATTTAATCTAATTTTGTCTAAAACACACTGATGTTGAGCCCTTTTTTTTTAATCCTCATTATTTATCATATCCATAATGTGTACAGAAAACAGTCAATTGCACTTTTCTTTTTTTGAATTTGTAAATGAAATGGCAAAAAAAATAAACGCGTTTGTCTCCAGGTGGCGCTTCTATAATGATTTTTTATTTTGTAACGTGGCTTCTTGATGCTGTCTGTTTAGCGAATTATTAAAAACACCTAAAACGAGATATTTTTGACAATCACAAAGTCCCATCATGTCAGAACAGCTGCTCACTCGTGTTTGTTCAGGACTATTTTTCAGTCTACACCAGAAAGCATCAGGTGTTGCCTTAAAGTGACTCAGATCATTCACTGGACGCTGGTATCAGAGATTTGGTCTCTAAAATGATTGAACATAGCTCTACGAAACCTTACAGGACTTCTTTGAACACTGGCGATAAATGTGCCTCTCTGTTATGAACACAAACGTACAAAATGTATTCTTGACTGATGATGAAAAATTGCCTCCTCCTCCTCCTCTTCCTCAGGCTTTGGTCGTCTTGTCCTCATCTTTGCCGGCTTTCTCCAAGTCAGAGTAATGCTCCAGGGCCCGCCGCACCGGCTCCAGAATATGCTGCTGCAGGACAACGAGACAGCAGAACCTTTTCAAATATCGGTTTTAATACTCAGTCCTGCTTATTAAAAGAAAAACAACAGTTTATTCTCCCTAACTTCAGAGAGCAGTTGTGATATTTTACCTCCAGACAGGGGAACAGCTTGGTGAGCTCGGTGAAGAGCGGCAGGAGGACGAAACGGATGAAGTTTGTCTGAGAGGACGGTTTGGACACTTTGTCCCGGTCCATGAAAGGAGTCACTGGAAGCCCTTTGAGTTTCTCCGTGTCGCTCTGCACATCATGGCAAGAAAAGAGTGGTATCTGTCATCATGAGGGGATTTACTTGAAATTAAATGCAGCCTGTTATCATATTATTGGAGTAATGCAATAATTTTAATCTTGGGCCTTGTTTTTATTTGTTTTTGATCTAAATTACTCAAAGGTGAAAGAGTTTGTCATCTGCTCCGGTGCTTTGCTTCAGCCTGCAGTAATAAAACGGGCTGCAACACAATCTCATGATGTGAATAAGCGTCCTTATGTTGTCTGCTCTCAGTCCCTCAGCTGTCTGCGGTCACGTCTTGATTGATCTGTAGACTGAGATTAAAAACCTGATTGAAGAATTCCTGCAGCAGACAGTCCAGCCATGGCTCGGCCACAGCCATCGGCCTCGCCTCATTGGAGATGTCGCTCACCTTCACCATGATCTTCATCAGCTGGAAGCAGAATCAGAATTACCGGTCAGACATTTTCTTTTTTTTACTAGTTTTACTAGTATTTGGCTTTACTCTTTACAAGCAAGATTTTGTTTTCCAGGCAGAATAAGCCATCTGAAAAATGCTGAATGTCTCATTAACTCTGTTTGAACTCCCCTCTGTCTGCCTGCCTGCTTCACTTTCAAACCTGGAGGCTAAGGTGACCTCTGGTGTACATTTCATGGCTATAAAGTTGTTTAAAATTGTACAACACCTTGATCAGGTCAAACACGTAGAAAAGAAAACAGTTTTCAGAAGAAGGAATCCTTTTTTCTTTACCACTTCCTTGTGATCCTTGTTGTTGAAGTCAAACACCGGCTGCATCATTTTAAACTTGTTGAGGATCTCGTTGTGTCTGGCCATGTCGGTGGCTAGAATACACCTGCAGAGACGAATATAACCATTTTAAAATAATGATATTAAATAACGATATCAGTGTCAAATGAGTTGGGCTGTTTGCTGAACCCTTACTTGATCATCCCTCCTCGGATTAGTTTGTACTGCTCACAGGTCAGGTTTTTGAGGATGTTGCACTCTGGCTGCAAACGAAAAGTAATTTTAATACGTTCAATTTTCAAGTTTTAACATTTATTTTTTGGTCATTTGTTGAACAGGTCTGAAAGTTTGGTTAGAAAATATATTTACTTAGTTTGAAGCTCAACAATAATCAAGGTAACACGTAAGGTTAGTCTTTTAGCATATGTTGTATTGTTGTTTAATCGCTATGGAAGCCTATTGCATTCAATTACAAAAAAAAAGAGGAAACTGTTTTTCTGACTATTTTTTCTCTTCTGTTTTTTGTACTAATATTTTGTTACCTCTCTGTTTTTCGGAAAAAAATTTATTGTTTTTCTTGACTTTTTTTTTTTTTCTGTTTTTTTGTACCAATATATTTTTCCCTCTTTCTGTTTTTTGGGCAAATCTTTATTCGGTTTCTCATTCTCTTTTTTTCTGACTTATTTTTCTCTTTTGTTTTTTTTTTGTACTACTACTTTCCCCCCTCTCTGTTTTTTTTTTTTTTTTACAATTTTTTATTCTGTTTTACGTAACTTTTTTTTTTTCAGGCTATTTTTTCGCTTCTGTTTTTTTTGTACCAATATTTTTCCCCTCTTCCTTTATTTATGGACAAATTTATACTCTGTTTTTCGTTTTTCTGTTTTTGTACTTTTTTTTGTCTTTTTGTTTTTTTTTCTGACGAAACAAGATACTTTAAGATCCTGCGAAAATCACATACAATCAGATAACGTTAACCTCCTGGCTGCTCCAAATCAGATGACTCTCCAGCTCCTAGATAGCTCGACTATGGGGTCATCTCTTTTTTCATCTTCAAATTTTTATCTTGTTTTTTTGTACTTTTTTTTGTGAATGCAGTACACTCTGTAAACCTCTATTTTCATTAAAATTATGACCGTTTTTTTTTTTTTTTTCAATCCTTCAGTTTCCTCATTTGGGGTTTCACATCTCTTCATCACAGACAGACGCCTCATCTATCATGGTTCTCGTACCTTTGACAGGATGCCAAAGGCGACAGCGCAGTGGTGGTTTTCCAGAGGGGAGATGTCGTTGTAGCGGATCGCCAAGTCTGTCTGAGCGTTGATCTGTGTGATTTTTGGGGAGGGACGGGAGCTCGGATTAAAACAAAAACTGTAATTGTGGAATAAACTGGTCTGAACCTCCAACATTTAAACCTGGTAGACGTTGTTGTATCCTGGGTGGTCGAGGTCGTGGCACAGGGCTGAGGTCAACATGATCAGCAGGTCGATGGATGATAATTTACTTCTGAGGTCGGTCAGCCAGATCAGCCCGTACATCTGCAAAAAAAAAAAAAAACCTCAAACCTCAAATAAAACATCAGTTATTCAATCATTCATCCTGTCTCTCCTCTCTTGTTTGTACCATCTGAGTGACGCAGAAGCAGTGCTGGAAATTGTGGAAGGGGATGCTGTTGTAGTGGCAGTACACCTCAAACAGGAAGTTCTGCAGGACTTTCAGCTCGATGTGGAACGCCGTCAGGAAGTCCAGGTCCGTGAACATCACCTGGAGGAGCACCAACATCTCGGCCTCCTCCCACTGCCTGTTAGCAACACCACACACAACTGTAACACACAGTATGTGTGTTTGCACAAGCTTGGGAGTGTGTTGACGTGTGTTTGTACTCACCAGTTGTCAAAAATTGGTGTTTTCAGGTGCTCTCTCACTTCCTCTGTCACCTGCAGAGAGCTACAACAACACAGAACAGGCAGAACATTTGCTTGGAGCACATTAAATGTTGATTTTGTCATTGACAGGCTCCGACTATTATTCAAAGTGTAACAACATAAAGAGAATCCCTACAGAGAAAGACTTGAGGTGATTTTTTTAATGTAACAACAGTTGTTCGACTCCACTGACAAATACGACAAAGTCACCTCATGTTGAGGAACTGTCTGCGGACTTGTTGCTGCTCCTCCTCCATGCTCAGCTGAGGTGTTTTGGGTTTCTGGGAGAGCTTTGAGAGCTGATGGTCGCTCTCTTCCCTGAACAGACCCATCCAGCTCAGGTGCTGCACACTCTGACAGGGAGGAAAAAACGACTTTTCTGCGATCACATGACTTTTTATATGTAGATAAGATGTAAAATGGGCAGTGAGTGAATGTAACCAGACTGAAGCAATGTAGGGTTTCTGCTGCTGTAAAACTGACCTTGACAGTTTTTTTGTATTTTATCAATCACAGAAAACTGAGATGCCCTAGAGTGGAGAAACCAGTAACGTTTGATTGAATCTTTTCTTTGGTGAAGGTTAAATGCCACTGAAAACTATCTTTCAAACCTCCAGCTTCTTCTTAAAAGACTCCACTTGGCTCTTCATCTCACTGATGATTTCTGGAGTCTTCCCCACGTCTTCAATCACCTTGCTTTCCAGATGGTGAAGCCTGCAGACAGAAACAAGAACCAAGAAACAACAGTGAGTCCCTCTCACCAGAAGAAAGACACATTAAACCTTCTCCTCAGGATCTCCTCACCTGTACTCCATGTTGTCTAGCTCTGCGGGCATCCCCACACCTGAGTGGAAAAATCAAACACAGAAGAGATGTCTTTCCTGTTAGACAAATGCTCCACTTCTTCAACTTACCCTGTCAGTATTTTGTATGTCATCCTGCAGCTTTGGAAATTTTGTCCAAAGGATTTGAAAAATAAAATTTGGGGTATTTTGCTCCTAAAGCATAGAGGGTTTTATAAACAGTGGATGTCTTGGATCTCAGTCAAAGATGCTGCTGCTGCTCACCCTGCAGGTCCGATGCAACCACCTCCAGTCGGTAGTATGAGTCTTCACTGTTGGCCTCCAGCCGGGGCGAGATGTTCAACACGCTGCCGTTTGTGTCGTACATCTTAAGAATGTGGTTAGGCCCCGCCTCTGCAGCCGTTCTGAACAGATCTGTTTGGATATGTGAGGAGAGAGGAGGGAATAATTGTAGCAATAACTCATCACCAATGAGAAGACAAAATCCTACACATACAAGATGAATCCAAAACATGGAGATCTTTCCAAACATAGACTCCCTTCAGGCCTTTTTGCAGCATTATTCCACCATATGACTGTCAAGGACCCGATTCAAGCAGTTGTGTACATAAGCTCATTGTTTATTCATCATCATCATCACTGAGTCAAGATAATGAGAGGAGTAAGCTCTTTCAGCAGAGGACCTGTCACAACCACATGGAGGTCAGGCCTTCAGACAAGAGCCAGAGGAGAAACCAACACCATGTCATGATCACATAATTCTAAAACATATTTTACTTGTAGAACTTGAATTAATCTCTTGAAAAAAATAGTTACTGTGACATAGTTTCATCCCTTAACATGGTCATCATTTCTTCAAATCAGCAGCTGAAACAACATCCAGGCCGTTACTTACCTTTGACATCTGCAGCAGAGCAGTCGGCTCCAAACTCTGCCTGTTCCAGCCTCCCGTTGACCATAAAATAAATTGTTTTTGTGGTCATCCCAGGGCCAGGTGGGACATGACCTGCTCCAGAGAAGAAAATGGGACCTCTTGACACTGACACCTTGACGTTGTAAAGGACCACCTGCAGCTGACAGAGAGCCCACCTACTTACCCACCCATCATCTCCCCTCTAGGGCCCAGTCTGCTGACAAAGGTTGAATCTGGCTGAGAATTATTAAGGTTTGGAATTGCATGTTTTAATAAAAGGCATCAACTCTTCTTTATTCTTTACAAAATCAAAACTGAAACCTGTGACAAGAGGGGGAAAGCAACTTCTTACTTTTGATCATGCAACTGAAATGAAGTATTTTTGTGTTTTCATTTCAGCTCGTAAAAACAATCCTCTATGCACAGCCAAGTGTGTAGGGACCGCCGATAAAGATGCAGCAAAAATATAAATTCCCCCATTGTTAGATGCAGAGTGAAAATCCCTTTTTACTGTGGATTATTTTACAACAATTAATTTGCTTTTACATCATATGAAAGCATGTTTTATTTTCCCCTTTCCCAGTGACATGGGTTTAAAGTAGGAACTCAATTTTTTTTTTTTATTATAAATATATTTTTATTACATTTTCCAGAAACACATGACAAAAACACACACACACACACACACACACACACACACACACACACACACACACACACACACACACACACACACACACACATTTAAGTTCAAATTTATACAGGCAAGAGATTCAGGAGTCATCTTATACAAATAAAATAAGGAAGTAAAATAAATCAAGTGTATATTGCCATGCATAATACGTTCATATGTTCAAAATAAGGCAAAAACATTAATTGAACTGGATGTCATTTTCGAGGCAGCACGTTCAAAGGTAGTTTTACTTCACTTTAGTTAAATCTAACTGAAATAACTTTCTACTAACTCTTAAGTACCGTATTTTCGTACTCTTAGCACCCCTGAATCAGATTACTTACTGGGCCTGTGATGCCGCAGCACCGTATGTTATTGCGCAGGCCCGCCAGCAGGTGTCGACATCCTCCGCGGGAGTTTTCCCATTGCTAGTGATGGGCACAGCAGTTCTTTTAGATGAACTAAATCACTAGAATCAGTTCACTAAAAAAATTCGTTCAATAGATTTGTTCACCAAATCACCTAGGCTGTGTCTGAAATGAGACACAGCCCTAATCATTTAGCGTTTGGTGGGAGAAGCCTGCGACTCCGACCCCCTGAACTGATACACAACTGAATGGTTCAGGATTCAGTTCAGATCATAGCTTCTGGAGACAAGAGTGTTTGTCTGTATTGCTTTGGCAAGCAGGTTTGCAAAAATGAACTTGTTTTTAAGTCATGATGTTTTAAGTGTACTGTCCTATGATATGCTATTTATCAGGTCTGCTCGATAAATTGGGCTCAGTGGGTGATTCGTTCACTGAACCTTGAAAGGAATTCACACTGAACATGCACCGTTCACTCGCAAACCGCTGGAATAACAGGATGCTGCGGGTTTAATGCACTACTTGTTACATGCTGTGTCCTATTGTATGCAAGTTGTTGTGGTGGCAATTTAGCAGTAAAAAAGACAGTATTGTCAGAAAAAAATGATTCCAGAGAGTTCAGTTCAACATGTGATTCGTTCACCAAGTGATTCAGGCATGTGGTCCCTTGTTTGCTGGCTGCTGGCCTGACAATGCAACAAATAAATCACTTGAGGAAGTGATTCGGTTCAGTACGCTCACCTAAAAGATTTGGTTCTTTTGAACGAATCGTTCGCGAACGACACAACACTATTGCAAGCTCTACGGCGTCTGTTAAGGGACATACACGGTATACTATGGCGATTTATCATTTTGTCGCCTTATTAACAATGAATGACTTTTGAAAAGCGAGCTGTCAGTGTTGGGCTTTAAAATGTCTTAAATACCAACGACGAGTTACTCTGAACCACCGAAAGAAAGAAAGAAGGGACAGAAATGTTAAGCTGTGTTCCGAAGTAACGGTAGTTTTGTGGCCGGAGGCTGCGTCGCCACTTCGGACTTTTTTCAGTGAACGGCTCGGTCCATCCGGTGAGTGAATGTCTAACCGGTCTCAGAATTCATTACTCTTGAATTACACCGCCAGAGACAGGTGAGAAACACTAAAGCTAATGTTATTCTTTCTAACGGGCTGAGTCAGATTGAACGGTTAATTCTGTCTGTTCGGTACTTTGGATCCTCAGTCTTGCTAGTAGCGAGCTAGTCGTGTTGCTAGCGGAGGAAGCTAGCAGCTAAATAAACTGATATGACGTGATATAACGGTCACCTGCGCGAGCTCCCCGAGTCACCTAACGGTCGGTTAGCTAAACTTTAGCCGGGACATTCAGCTCTAATTTCTCAGCCACAAGTTGTAACGCTGAATTTATAATATGTAAAGGTGAATTAAAGCCGTTTACTTCTCAGTTTGTAAACTTTGCCTAACTGTCATCTTATTTCTTGGATAAATGTCATTACAGGAAAATGAAGTGCGATGTCCACAACAACCAAACACTGCAGAGTACCATGGTGCGCATTTCGGCGACGTTAGCCGCCTCTTAAACCCAGTAACAGGCGAATAAACGGGGACAAGAACCCTGCAGCAGGTTTCTGGACACTGTAAAGGCTTTGGTGCTCAAAACAAGAGGAGCAAGGCCAGCTGGGAGTCTACTCTTTCCTTGAATTCTCCTCATCAGCCATGGATGAGGAGGTGGTGAGCATGGATTATTTGCTGGAGCAGGTGATGCAGAAGGACCTGGGGAAAAGGCTTCAGGTGGGGCAGGAGACCATTGAGCTCATCCTGGATGAAGGAAAGTCCCCAGACCTGGACCATGACCAGAGCATGCTCGACAGGATGGTAGACGCAGTGGCCAGCTCCTGGGTCAACTCCAGCAACTTTAAGGTGAGAGTTTGAGAGAAATCAGACACACTTTACCTTTTCAACATTTACTCAAGAGTAACCTCAGAGTGGGGTAAGATGAGCCAGTTTTCATATTTCGGATCACTACATCAAGTCAATCATAGTTTCGTATATTTCAGGATGTTGTTCATCCCTGCAAACCAACAGAACAAGTGTAAACAGAACTGTCTTGATAATATAGCATGCAAAAAAAAGTGGTCTCCTATGGTCAACTTACCCCGTGTATGTATGGGGTAAGTTGACCATAGGAGCGGGGTAAGTTGAGCCGTATCTCTCCACCCCAGCCCTCCCTCACCTTCTCTCTCCCTAAATAACAGTCACTTCTTCACATTCATGTGTATTTTTATCTATTATACGCTATTCAACTGGTACAATAAGTATTTTTATTATTATTGCTTATAACTGCTAAAAAGCTGTTTAGCAAAAAGCCATTTGAACATGAGAATGTCTTTAAGTGATTCAGAACATTCGCAGATCTGTATTTTTGAAAAGAAAAAGTCAAACATTTCAACAATCTGAACGTAAACTGAATCTCTCATCAGACTCCTTGTCTAAACTCTTCACCCATGTGCTTCTAACCTTCACTGACTCCATAAATTGATGCCTATCTCCTAAATATTTGGTCACATGATCAATTTCTTTTACCATTTCCAAGCACAACTTACCCCACTCTCCCCTACTGGACAAGTGTGAGCATAAAATTAGCCTCAAAATATTTAAGTAATTTAAGTTTCGAAAGCATAAAATATCAGAAATACATATGCTCATGCCCATTGTCAATATGAGAAGTGATTTTGGAAAACAAAAATTGCGTTATCATTCATATTATAGTGGGGATATTAATAATTGTAATATTGATAGAATTTATAGTTGCGTTGTAGGTTGTACACTAAACCACATCTATCCGCTGATTCTGTTTCTTAGGAGCATCATGTACATTAGCATGTAAATTATGTGGATACAAGTCTGACACTTTTAACTAATCAATGCAGCTGTGTTTTGGTCCTGCACAGTAACATCAGCTGTTTTATGTTGTCATGAGTCGTTTATCATTGAGCTGCAGTGGACCCAAACTAAAATTTACTTTGTTTTCATGATGGCTGTTGGAAAAGGAGGTGGTGGAACGACTACTTTACAAATGACTTAGTATTTCTCATCCTTATTTTGAACATTGTTGCAGTGGTGTCACAACACGCCCCTCTGCTGTCATGGACATGGATTCATCTGTAGCATTGCTAGAATTTGCCAATCTGAGTTGTATGAAATATTGATTTCTTACATTTTTCTGGCTGTCACGCCTGTAATCTCAAGAAATGTGTCAAGTTTTTTTTTACTTAGAAGAACTATCAACAGCAAGCTCAGTGAAAGTGACACTAATCCTTCTTCAATAACGTCATGATAGTTAATATTTTTAACATGATATTTGCTTGTTAATTTTACACTCTTTTCTTTCCGAAAAAGCTAAAAAAAATAAGAGTATGAATGGGGAAATGGACCTCTGAGGCTTCTGAACATACCACATGACCCTTCTCAAGTGTGTCAAATGTTCAGAAATGGAAGAATTGAAGACTAATAGGGAAGTGAAGTCATCAAAGTTTTCACAAAGGTCATGATTCCTTTTTGTGTGCTCCTTTAATTTGCTGTGGAAGATCATGTGATACCATCAAAAGCGCTTGAACAGCTGATGAATCAACCTTGTGGCAAAATTGATCGGTGAACTGCTGAACTTTCAATCTCAACCTATTTTGAGAAAAGATCCATGGAGGGAATTATCCTGAAAATGACAGCTTTGACGGCAGTTAGGTTTAACTCTCTGGCAGATAAAACTAAGTGTAACTGAAAAAGCACATGCTTACATGTCAACACCGTTTAACGCTGTGTTAACACGCACATACCAGCACACCAATCATATCGCTCTTTGCTGTGCTGCCCTGAAAACACAGCCTCCTCCAGTCTGCTCAATTTCTGCAGGTCTGTAATGGGGACGAGGCTCCCAGGCGAGTGTATGTCAGCGTTGGTGGCTGTGAGCTTAATATACTCGTACCATTAGCCCACTTTCCTTTCCAGTGTGAACAAATCAGTCAAGGAGGAGCAGCGGCTTTTTCGGGACGCAGTGTTTTAGTGTTGGCAGAACAGCTTCCTGTCTGTCTGAGCTCTAATGTGAGTGTGTGGTGGGAGTTAAACCTTTCAGATGGGTGTGTGCGGGGTGAAAGATGGAGGAGAGCTGCTTCATGCTGGTGGTCTAATGGCTTTTGTTAATTGATTGTACAGTAAAGAGAGGACGAGCTGGGCTGTCACGTAAATTAAAAGACCGCTCAGCTGCTGATAAATACAGACAGATGGTAAAAGTCACATCCTCATTTACGACAGGCGGAAAAACGCAGTTTATTCACCATTTACAGTTTAAACTTTCAGATGAATTTACCGTAAGAGCGCTGCCATACGCTGTAACTTATATTTTCTACATTTTTAATCCAAAACCGAGTGATGTTTGAGTTTAAAACCCAGAGATATTTCATTGTGTAAATAAAACACATTGGAGAAACCTTCCCACTCGATGTTGCAGTGATAAACCTGATAGAGTTCTACAAATTTGTCTTTGAAATACAGAAAGAATTTACGTCAGTCTCTCTGTTTTTAACACCACTGAAGCATTTAGAGAGTAGAAGGTCATAGTTTTGCTTTCAGTTTCAGGAGATGCTGTTATTTTGCAAAAAGTGTAATTATAAAGTCATGAGAAGCTTGAATCAGAGAATCTGGAAATTGTTTTAGTGTCTGAGACTTGAAGATGGTTATAATTGATATCATTACTGTCAGTACAGTCATTTCTGCTAACCACCAGCAGATGGCACTGGTGTCTAATTTCATTTAACAGTTGCTGTGGTCATGTGTCTCTCTGCTAAAGAGAGTTTCCAAAAATTGCACCAGTATCTGAGCAGAAGCCCAGGTGATGCTTATGTGTTGATTATGGTGTTAGCAGGGTAACTCTCACTAAACGTTCATTGAGTTTCCCATACCACCCCATGACAAGGAAAGTTGGGACAATCAGTATCAGAACCTTTTCTGTAAAATTTAGAGGTTATTTTCAGTCATGGTCCAACTAGAGTTTGATATTTTACTGTTCTGAATGATAGATTATTACCTATTATTATATTTTAAACCACATAAACATTTGCAGTTTCATTATTCTTAAGTTTGTTTGATGAAAACTCTTGGTTTGGCCAAATTACCCATAATGCCTTGCAGCCTAGACTCAAATCCATTGATGTTGAAACCGGTCTGAAGTTGCTGTGAATCTTCTCTATCTTGGATTATGGGATTATTCTGTTGGATTTAATCTGTTTATTTGTTTGTTATCCTTTTTCTTGGTGTGGTGTGTGCGTGTGCGTGTGTGTGTGTGTGTGTGTGTGTGTGTTTGTGTGTCAGGTGGTTTTGTTGGGGATGGATATTCTGTCAGCTCTGGTCAGCAGACTGCAGGAGAGATTCAGGACACAAGTGGGAACAGGTGAGTTGATGCACATTTTACTAGAACGGCTTCATATTAAAAAATGAAGTGAAAATAATTAAACTCGTTATTCTGATCCATGATTTAAAACCAGTTTTAGGTCATTTATTGAATTACACAATACTATATAGTAAAGTACAACACAAGAATACGAGAAGGGGATTTGTTAAAGTGTATTTGTTGTTAAAAAGCAAATCAAATTATTTTTGATTTTGTAAATTAGAAATTAAAATGATTATATATTAGCTTCTAACTTTAAATTTTTAAACCTATGATGTATTCAAAGTCTTCTGTTCTTCATATGTGGTTTATCTGAGTTTCAGCTCCTTTTGTAGTTTAACAACCATGTAATAAAATGAAATAATGTCTGCTGAAATAAATGATTTATGTTGTACCTCTGATAACTCGCCCCAGCTGAAAGCTTAAAAAGACCGTTTACAGTAAACCGCTGCAGTGAAAGTTGAGTTTCACTGTATTTCTATCCATGGTCACGGTGATGTCAAGTCTTTTTTGCATTAAATCTGATGGTGGTCAAATTTGAGATTAGATTCAGTTTGATAAAAGTCCATTTAATCACTGTCCTCTGTTTCTGCACAGTTCTGCCAAGCCTGATGGATCGACTGGGAGACGCCAAGGACCAAGTACGAGACCAGGACCAAGCTCTTCTGCTGAAGATTATGGACCAAGCTGCCAACCCTCAGGTACACAAAACCCAAAATACAAGCACATTCAGCCCAGTTTGCGTGGTGTCTAATACAGTACGACAAAATAACGTTCAAGCTCCAACAGAGGATCCCTCAAAATCTTTACTGAATTCCCCTTAGTGAAAAAAATAGTCAAAATCTGAAGGATGCTCACCAAGAGTTCATGTTCTTGTGCCTTTCTGTTGTTTTCAGTATGTTTGGGAGCGAATGATGGGAGGTTTCAAACACAAAAATAACCGGACCAGAGAGGGCCTCTGCCTTTGTCTCATCTCAACACTAAATGTGTGAGTAATAAAAACTCCTGTGTTTGTGTTTTTATGTTTTATCTCATCATATTATGCCCAGATGAACCTGTCCGGACTATTATACTTAATATTCTGTTTTTTTCAGGTTTGGATCTCAGAGTCTGACTCTTAGTAAAATTGTTCCTCACATCTGTAACCTCCTTGGCGATCCCACAAGTCAGGTAGGACTTTCCTCTTCACTCTTGGAATGAAACGCTGTCTTTGACCGCCCTCTGCTGGTCAAATATAAACAATACAACTCATGACTGTGAAGTTGGGCCTTTCAGACACAAGCCAGGGTTTCTCTGCTCGGACATCTTTTCTAAACTCTAAACTAAACTTTTTTCTTTTGTAAATTAAAAGCGTAATGATAACTCTCAGAGGAAAAAAGCTTTAGACGTTGTTAGACACATGATTGGACCCATGATTGGACCCATGACCCAGCAGTACGGGTTTTACAGACGACTCATCTCCCCTGCTGTGTGTGAGTTGGTGTCTCCAGATTGGCTACAAGGGTCTGTCATCACCGGAGCCACACTTCCTCAGGAGGACAGGAAGCTGTGCCCTTGAATTTCCTTTCCTGACCCCAAACACTCTTTCACGTGTGCACTGCCGCATTTATCGAGGTTATGAACCAGCATCACTGAAATGATGAGTGTGCTCTGCAGGAGCAGCTGGAAACACACAGAAATATGATTGTGGTCATAAAGAGACATGACTAACACAATACTTATTTAAAGATTTTTTGGTTTTTCTACATCCAAACATACAATAAAGTTTCAGAGATAGTAAAGAAGATGACTGATTTAGTTGTCAATTAAGAGCATCATAGGAGTGTACTTAAATTCAGACAAATCAATGAAAAATATCTGTATTTTTATCTTTTCTTATCTGAGAGATTCACCTGCTAAAAACTTGTCAACCTTGAATCGATGACTGTTTGATGTGACGTTGTTATGTGTGACATCAAGACAAGAAGTACCAGAGTGAGTATTAATTCTTCACGGCTTCTTGTAGGTGCGCGATGGAGCGATGAACTGCCTGGTGGAGATCTACCGTCATGTCGGGGAACGCGTGAGAATCGACCTGGGGAAGAAGGGTCTCCCTCAGTCACGGTACGCTCAAAGGATCTCTGTATAGACCAGATTATCAACAAACTGTGAATTTTTACTGATTATTTAACTCGCCTCTAATATTTCTTAATTTCTGTGAAAGAGTCAAAGAAAGCAAGTCGTCCCACTCGTTCCATATTTTTGCCTGCATGCATTAAGAGCGACAAGATGGCCTATTGAACTGCTCTGTATGGAAACTGAAATTATCCACTTCTCTTTTCAGAGGATCAGCTGCAGACTTTTAGGCTGTTTCCTCTTATAAATCTGCTGCTTTTTCCTTCATGTCTCAACGTACTAATTTTCTGCCCCCTTTCTTCCTCTCTCCCGTTGTCAAGGCTCAACGTCATCTTTAGTAAATTTGATGAAGTTCAGAGGTCGGGGAACATGGTCCTGTCTCCACTGTCAGGTAAGAATATGTCTTAAAGATCTAAACACAGGCAGACATTATGAGCTTGGTTCCTGCTGTCATTTCAGCCTTTTTTTGGTTTGGTATCTCAGTGTTTGTGGTCGATGGAGGACTGTGTTTACATCCTGGACTGGAAGAGGTGGATGGGAAGTGCCCTTGAAACCTTATTTTAATCCCTTTTGTGCATCTTGAACTCTAAATCTATTGGTTTAAAATGTTGAGTACAAAGAGTTGAACAGAAATAGCTCACATGAAGCTTCAGAGAATATCACATCCCTTGTTATTAGATTGAATTAAGTTTAGCACTAAATCTCGGTTTAGCTGTTTTTCATCTTGAACTTCTTGTCTGTTCGGGCAAATCTGACAGAGCTAATCTTTGTGGTAACGAGTCTCAACTTTCATCTCAGCGGGCTTAAATATAAAAAGACACGACCACCTCCCTCTGAGAAAACAACAGGAATTTGTCACTGAGATAATCTGACATGAAGGGAGGAGCTTCACTGTGGAGTGTTTTTGTTTTTGTCATTAATCACACCGCCAGAACACGGACTGCAGAGCCGCTCTTGCACACGGTTTACAGTTTATGGTTGCTCAGATTATAATTGAATAATTTTTTGCTGAAGATATTCTGAATGAACACAGAGTCAGTGGACGAGTTGATCGGATTTGTGGTTGTTGTTGGAGGAGCAGAACTGAGTATTAGCATTTCAATATGAGAAGAAGAACAGTTCATGTGAGTCCTCAACAAACTAAAAACACAGAAGAGAAACTGAAAGAATAGAGAACACAGCCTCCTCATTTCAGCAGTCCAGGGCTTTTATTTTGGAGGAGGAGTGGTGTCAGCTGTCGTCCTCACAGTCATAAGACCAGTTTGGAGGGAGGAAGCAGGACGGGCAGCAGTGCATCAGCAGGTCTGCGTCTCCGACTGTAGACCCACAGGAGAGTTGAGTCTCTGCAGGTAAACTTGTCTCTTACATGAAGAATCCTAGAACAGGTTTAGTAAACGGATGAAACGGTTCTTTGAGTCTCTGAGTCTGTGTGGTGTTTGAAAGAACAGGTTTGACAGGACTCTGTGTGGACCTTTGTGCTGAGGAGTCCTGTTAATTACGCTGGGATCAGGATTGTGTGCTGAAGCTCAGTGATGCGTGTTATCTCCATGTTCTGCTGTGTTGTTGTCCAGTTAAATAATTGAAGTTATGTTTGTGGGAATGTTGGTGATAATTTCTGGAACACAGTCTGAGAAACACGGCTGTTTGGACTTTTGATTATTTACTCCCTGAGTTCTCGTCAGTGCTGCTGTTTTTTCTGTGTTTCAAATCATTGTTTTGATGTTTAGAGGAATTATCAAAAGTGTTGATAACTTTCTTTAAATGGCTTTTACATTGAATTCCAGATAAACAACAATGCAACTCATGGTTTATTTTTGAACACTAGATAGCAGTGTTGTCGTCTGTTTTTATCTCTTTTAATATACTGTGGCTTTCAAACTTAAGCTTCTACCATTTTGTGAAGTTTGTCTTCATACAACAACTTGGTCAAAAAGTGAAATCAAGAAACTGTTTTTCCAAATCTGTAGCAGGAACAACCGTTTAATGTCACAGATTGAATCATTCCTGGAATAAAACATGACAAGCTTCACCCTCATTTATGAAGAACTCCTCTCCTCGCTTTGCCAAACTGTTGAAAAGCTCCAAAACTTAATCTGCGCTCTCTTTATTATTTTTCTGACCACCATCTTTTGATGTTAAATTCATTTTGATAAACCACAAAGCCGTCTGAGTGCGTCACACAGCCGCAAGAGGTCTTGCAGAGAGATGTTGAGCAACAAAGACAGCAGGACTTGGGTTGCACAGGTGAAAACCTCCTGAATAATGAACAGTGTGAAGAGAGACAGTCCACCATGACTGCTGTTCAGACACACAAAAGGATTCATTTTGTACTCGTCTTTTTCGTTTTGCTTACATATTTTCCTTAAAAACACTAAAAATATTTCTATGGACTCTTCCAGCAACACAACAGGAAGGTTCCTCTCCACAGACTGAAGGAGACCAAACAGGAAAAAGGGAGGGAGGGTTGACGAATCACAAGATCCAAAACTGTCGATCCTTGTTTTTGTTTTAGTCAAGAATCCAAGCTGCTCTCAGTTGGATCAGAATGAATTTAAGCTTCGTTTTTATTCATCAGGATTTTTAATGGTCTTCCGTTTATCTTGGGAAACAGATGAGAAAGCTGCACATTTAACCACCAGTCATGATCACTTGGTCTCCTCCTGTGTAACTCTATCCTCTCACCTGTGGATTTGCTCAGTATGAATGCATTTTAATCTGCTGAGAAAGTTATGAATGAAGCCTGATAATTCTGTGGGAACGAACCTCCCACTGTTGTTCCAGCTGGATGTCATGTGCAGGAGAATAGCAGGGGTGTTCCCTGCTTCATTCACTCGGTGATAACAAAGCTGAACAATGATTCTTTTTGATACGATCGTCGTTTTGAACATTCAGAGTAGAGAAAGTGATTAAAATAATCCGCACTTTGTGTTTTTAAGGATGAATAAGAGTAAACTGCTGCTGTAGAGCGACTCAAAAGAAGGTGATTTGACTGATTACTGATCTTCTCATGCTTAAACTCGGCTCTCCCACGCTCCCTCGGTTCTCCCCTTCTTTAGTGACGCAACATCTTGCACCTCTGAAGGCCTCACCTCTCTTTGGTCATTTTTTGAATTTGCTCTGAGGGGATCAGCTGTCAGATTCCATCAGGCTGTGAACTGACAAAGATTCAGAGACGCTGCCAGGAGGAAAACTTATGACCGAGGTTCCGGAGAGGGCTTAGTCTGTGGCGGTCCAAGAGTTACAATTACATTCATTTGTCGCCATCCATCATCATTTTCACACTCTGTTCTGCTCTGCTCTGTTCACGCTTCAAATGTAGAAATCTGCTCGACAAACTGGTGTAACGAAAGTGAAACATATGAGAATAACCAAAGCATCATGGGAAATGTAGGATATGGTAGGTTTGGGATGGGTTTTAATAATTTTTAAAGATTTAAAGACAACAATCAGATATTACTCTTTTGACTGAACTATTTCAGTCGATTAAATCTGTTTATTCTTTTCAATATTAGTCGAGTTTTTTTATGATTATAATCAGGATTACTGGGATCAAACTCCCCCACAGGATAAATTAAGTTTTTTGATTCTGATTACTTTAAACATAGTAACTGAAAAATTACACAATTTTCCCTGTGATGAGAGATTCAAGAGTTAAATCAAGGCTGTATTATTAAGAGCAGGTAGAAGATATATCAAATAGTGGGGGTGCGACAAAAAATCAATTCACAGAAGAATCGCGATTCTAATTTACTACGATTCAGAATCTATTTAAAATGTCCCAAAAGCCTGTCCGCCTCCATTTTAGAACTACACTGGACGTCCTGACGTCGTCACGCAGCTGGTTCTGGAACGCATGCATGCGCAGAAGCCACCAAAACAAAGAGGGAAATACAATGATAGAGGAAAAGGAGATCCAGCCAGCTCCGTCTTCACTAAAAGCTAAAGACGCATGCAGTGTGCCGACATTGTAAAACTAGAATCAAGCATTTCGGCAAAACAACAAAAGACACTTTAATGTCTTTCACAGCAGATGGGAGTAGATCGTGATCAGAAATCAGGTCAGAAATCATTATGAATAAAATCGTTTTGAATCGAAAATCAATTTTAAATCGAATCGTGGCTCCAAAAATCGGAATCGAATCGAATCGTGAGACAGTAAAAGATTCCCACCCCTATCAAATCGTCCTACAGAGGCCACGTCTTAAAGTCCTGGTTTTGATGTGACCAACAGTCTAAATCCTGAACATACAGCTGCACAATGTCCTGAAAAGAAGATCTATTTATGTGTTTATTGCAAATGTCATCATGAAAATGACGATACACCGTGCAACTTTCATATTTAGGATGCAGGAACCAGTCAGAAATTATTAATCAATAATCATAATCATAAAAATATTCTCCTGCTCTGAGATTAGCAGATTAATTGATCAATCATTACATTTCCAGTTGAGACAAATTCAAAGATCACTCTAATGCCCCCAAAAGTCGAGGTGTGGTCCGTGAGGAAAAGGAAAACAGTACAGAAGAGAATTCTGGGAAAGATCCTGGTGTCGCTTTGAGTTTTCTCTCTGTTTTAATCTCTGAGTTGTCGTGACCTTGCTGTGACAGTATCACTCAGTGACGGACGTTAACAGTGACCAAGGAGCAGCTTCCTCTGGAGGTGTCACTCCATCCCTCCCTCTTCCTCCTCCTCTCCTGTGTCATGATGACACTTTAGCTGTCACTCATCTTTGACTCCGCCCACCAGCTCCGCCTCCACACAGAGCGCCGGGGTTTGTCCCCTGACCGACCCATCCCTTCTCCTCTCATTGGTCAGATCCTTCCATCCTTTCCTTCATCACTTCTCTCCATCCCCTCCCTTTCGCTTCCTCCTTCCTGCTCCTGATGGTGCGTGTATGTTTGCGTGCATGTGTGTGCGTGTTTGACTAAACTGAACCAGAGGACAGACACGGAGAGGAAGATCGAAGCACATGCTCCCTGACAGGGGAGGGAGGAGGCTCGCAGTTAGATTCCCCTCCTTCCTCCCCTCTTGTCTCTCCTCAGCAGGCGGAAAAGATGTGAGAACCTCAGAGGACCGGAGGACCACCTGACTGTCTCACTGTCTGTCTGTCTGTCTGTCCACCAACATGCTGAGGAAACTGGTCTGCAGGCGGATCTGCTCCTGTAAGCTGCTGCTGCTCTTGCTCTTGCTCTAGATGCAGAGACGGTTTAGTTACATCTGGCAGAGGGGAGAAAGAGGAGGTTATTATCAGTGCGGGCGACAGGAGCTCAATGGCAAGAGAAGAAAGAAGGGAGGAGGGAAGAGGAGGAGGAGGGAGGAGGGGGGAAGCCTGGTGTGACGATGGCTGTAAATCCAGCAGGAATGTGTTTGTGGCGTCTTGAATGTAAACACAGCAGGATGGTTTCTTGGCCTACTTGAAGCTTGAACAATGCAGAGGACATTAGCAGCCTGGATGTCTCTGAGCAAAGTTAAGGTCAGACGGCAGGAACAGCTGCATGCTTTAAAACGGGGATGAAGTTTGTCTGTCTTTCCTGCCCATGTGTTGTAATGTGTTTCAGCTGGTTTTGAGTGTGATTTGCTGTCCAGATGGTGAAAAATGTAAAAATTCCCTGAGGAGATGTTAGAACTTCAAAATGAAAATGTAAGTGCATCACTGAAATGAATTAAATCATTTCTCTTATATAATTTTGGGGTCAAGATGGCTGAAGGGTAATAAATTTCTGTTTGAGCCGGCAGCACAGATGATTGTAACGCTATCCGACTCGTTACAAACACAATTACGCAACTCTGACGAGATAAAATACCTTTAACAACCATGGCTTTGAGAAGACTGATGAAACAGCTGCTTTTGTTTCCAGAAGAGCTTCAGCTTCTTTATCTCTACAGGAATCCTTTCTGTTAACATTCAGAGCCTGAAACCAACAGAAACTTCAGTGGATGTTCTTTTACTGGACTCATTTTTGTCCTCACAAGAGCGAGAGTCGGCTCGAGTATTTTAAAACAAATAAAGAAATGTCAAAAGCTATCTGGTCCAACTACAGATCATGATATTTGAACTGTTCCTGTAGACGAGAGAATTGAAAATGCAAAAGAAGTCAGAGTTTTTTCTTCCTGCAAATAGTCACGTGTGTTTTTTACTCAGTTATTGCTTTTAGCATTAAAACATGTGATTCAGGATATTCCACAGGGGTTTCCTCTTGAACTCGCACCATCCTTTATTTCTCCTTGAGTCCCCTGACGTTAAAGTCAACATATTCAACCTCAGGTGACGGGTGTGTTTTTCCTGCACAAACACACAGTCACCTTGTGTTGATATTAAAGGTGTTGCATCCTTCTTGCAACGAGGAAAAACTGCAGCCTGATGCACATGACTGATGTGCTGGCTGAGTGCCCTACCGCTGGTGTGTGTCTGTGTGTGTGTGTGTGTGTTTGTGTGTGTGTTTGTGAAAACTTTGAATAATGAAGGAGGATTGATTGCTTGTTGTGCAGATTCCTGTGCCGGGGTCTCACGTGACCCTCAGGAGAGGGCTGCGCCTCCATTGTTGTAGTTATTGACTCAGAAATGAAAGTATGATAGGTGGTCTCTCTCTGTGAGATGGGGAAGAGAACAATTGTTGGTCTTTTATTGATCGGTAGGAAATAAACTAGTTGAACTGGATTATTTCTGGGTGTGTGTCCAGATATCAGAAGTGTTGTGAGCATTTTTCACGAGGTTTTGTCCGGAGTCTTCTGGCTGATTATTTATCTAATTGGCAGAATTAAAAGGTAGAGGGAGTTCGCCTAAAACTATTCACTACAAAAAATTATTTTCAACATAATGACACTAGTCCTCCTTTTTTACACATTTCAGTAGGGTTGCAAAATTGAGGGAATTTTCAAAGTTGGAAACTTTCCATGAGAATTAATAGGTGCTAAGTATAAGTTATTTTTCATTTCATTGACCATTTAAGGGTCTAGCTTATTATGGTGGTGGTAGCGACCTCAAATGTGATGCTGTTTCTTCAGACCCCTGACAGACGGTTTTCTGTAACCAAACAATCATTTATACATCAATTATCAAATATTTTGAAGACCATTCCAGTTATTTAGCCAACTATATTTCTGTTCATGCCATTAATTGTATTATTTTTCATGCATGCCTGCAATGACAAAACAAAACAATTTACATTTCTGTTCAGATGTGATAAAGTTTGTTTAAATTACCCTTGATTTCCAGTTAATTCCCATAATTTCCATAATTCCCATGGAAAATTTCTGGAAATTTACCTGAAATTTCCCACCCCTTTGCAGCCCTACATTTCAGTAATTCCCGTTCTCTCTGGTTTCTTGAATTATTCACTGGATTGTGTCGGAATCGTTGGCCGTGTAGAGAATGAGTTAAAATCATGACTACATTGTGTGTTGCTTCGACAAAGTTGTGTTTTCATTTTTTCGATCTGTGTTTTGTCCTCCTGCGGTTCCTCTGGGTTTCTCTCCGCTCATTTATTGTTGGTTACTCTGACACTTCTCGTCGTCACCAGCCTTTTCTGTTGCTGATGTAGGAATGTGAGTAATGCCGTTCCGTCGTCCACTCAGGACTCCCTCTGCCCGCCGCTCCACATTGCTGAGATGCTCGACATCGATGATTTCTTTGTGCTGTGTGAGTGAACTGAAGACTCGTTGTTCGTTTTTCTTCCCTTCCTCCTCCAGACAAAAACTTTGAGGACGATGACTCGGTGGACGGAGGCCGTTCCTCGTCCTCATCCAAAGGAGCGTCACTGTCCGGGAGGAAGGCGGTGAGCATGGGGTCATTTCGGCGCCCCGCCTCTGCCTCCAGTGCCAAGTCTGCAGGTCAGAGTTGAAACCACTGCCAAGTCAAATACATTTATAGATGTCTATCTGCTTATTTCGCCCTGTTCGCTGTCTGTATCACAGTCTGAGGATAAGATGATGAAGTTATGATGATAGGAAACTAAATCAAACATCTCAGCTCTTACACAAATCATAATTTTTTTTACCATGCTCTTTTCTTTTATTTAAACTTTGTCCTGGTTTGTCTCACTGTTAACCATCATATGGCTTTGATTATTCTGTCCTCCGCTGAATACAAATCCACATTTTTGTAGTGAATAAAACATCAAGTCTGAGAGAAAAAGGAAATTTAAAAAAGTGCAGGATGTGCTCTTATTTCCCACGGCATTTCCTCTCCGTCCAAACATCACATGAGGGTTTTGTTTTGTTTTTTTTTGGTTTTGGTTTTGTTTAATTTCAGTGCCAGTGTTTCCTCTCTTTTACATCAGTTTTTAAAAACAAACACTTTTCCGCCTCAATTGTCTCATGTTTTAGGGAGGGATGGGTCAGGTGCTGGAGCTGGAGCTGTGGATGAAGAAGACTTCATTCAGGCCTTCGAGGATGTTCCCACAGTGCAGGTACAGGGTCGTGTTTATTCCACATGACACTTTATTTTTCTGTAAAGTGCCCTACTTGTACAAAGGCCTGCATTGAGAGCTGTAGAATATTTCTTCTGTTATCCACTCTGTCTTCATCTCTCTTCTTTCCTTCATCAGATCTACTCAAACAGGGAGGTGGAGGAGGCCATGACAAAGATCCGAGATGTGCTGTCCGATGATAAGAGAGACTGGGAGCTCAGAGTGGCAGCTGTAAGACCTCCTGACCCCTCTGATATCAGAGCTTGAGGATCCGTCAGGAGGACAGTTTGATGTTGATCACCTTCTCTCTCTGCTCCCACAGCTGAAAAAGATGCGTTCGCTGCTCCTCGCCGGTGCGGCAGAGTTTGATGGGTTTCCTCAGCAGCTGCGGCTCATGGAGGCGGCGTTCAAACTGTCCGCCAAAGACCTACGCTCTCAGGTGGTGAGAGAGGCCTGCATCACACTGGGGTAAGGTCGTCTTGAGGTTACAGCGCTCTGTTAAAGTCTGTTACACGAGATCGTCTTCTTATTGTTGTGCATGTTTTAGAGTGTTCATTTCTTACCTGTTTCTGATCTCTTGTCACCAGTCACCTGTCGTCGGTGCTCGGCAGTCGGTTTGACCACGCAGCGGAGGCCACCATGCCCATCCTCCTCAACCTAGTTCCCAACAGTGCCAAAGTCATGGCCACGTCCGGCATGGCCGCCATCCGTCTCATCCTCAGAGTGCGGGTTATCTTTATTATATGATGTCTGTGGTCATTGTTCGCTGATATATTACTTGATAAGAAAGCGCTACTTTAAATATTACTGGTCAGAATTTTCAAAATCTGTTGTTACCAGACTTGGCAAATTCAAAGTTTTAAGAACAAAAAAAATAAAGCGGTTTATACTACACTGTGTTAATCTCTGTGAAATTAAAGTTCTGTGTCACAGAGATGAATTTTAGATTATTAAATTGTTTTTTGTTTGTTTGTTTTTTTTCTGCAGCACACACACTACCCTCGTCTCATCCCCATCATCACCAGCAACTGTACCTCTAAATCTGTGGCTGTCAGAAGGTGAAAAAAAAGTCTTTTTAATTATGTTTATTGTTTTTATAATTTTGATTTTATATGTGCTTTGTTTACTCTTTATCGCACTTAATTGTTCTCATGCAGTGCATCTAGATATTGTAATTATGTACTAATTAGGTCAGTTAGACTGATTCTTGTGTTTGCATCATGGTTCAAATGAGAGATTTCTCTGTATTGCTTCTTTTTTGTGAATCTTATTTATTTGTTCAAGGTGTCCAAATGTCAGAGAAAGGTTCTGAAGTTAAAAAAGCTGATGACCCGATTGGACTTTATTAAAATGTTTTTCTTGTCTTGTGCAGACGCTGTTATGAGTTCTTGGACCTGATGCTGCAGGAATGGCAGACCAGCTCTTTGGAGAGGTGAGGAGGAGATCTCATTATCCAGACAGAAATTTGATCTGCAGGATCGAGGCACAAAAATCACATCAAGTAAATAAAAAGAAACACAGAAATATTCATGACCCAAACAAGGATACTCCTCCTCAACTGAATCAGAGTAAAGTACATCTTAAGGTCACATAGCGATGTTTCAAAAACATGCTTTTGATTGTTTATGTAGGAAAAAGTAAAACTAAAATGTTATGAATGTAATTAGTTTATATTTGTACTCAAAGAAAAAGGTGACACCGGCTCGTGAGTGGTTTGAAGCACAACACGCTGCTCCGTGAAGAAATGTGACACCGGCAGAGTCAAGGGCTTTCTCAGCAGTTTCCATGGCGATACCAGAGGAGGGGGGTGGATTTCTGTCTGCCTCCAAAAGCTTCTTTGTGTCTCTGGCTGCTTCCTGCCCCTGCCGCCAGGGAGAAACCTGAGCTGACCCCGGTATACCAGGGGAGCTCTCCGGTTCTTATTGATCCGTCAGTCAGTGTGTGTGTGTGTGAGAGACAGTGAGAGAGGTTCTGGTTCTGTTCGTATAAATTAACTGAGTGAAAAGTTAGAACCAGTTTTAAAAAAGGAGGACTTTTCTTAGATGAATTACATCAGAAACTGCTGTGAAATAACAAATTAGAACAATTTGATGACGTGTCATGGCTGGATGGGCATTGTGCTTGAACTTTTGTTTTCTCTGAACTGACATGGACCTGATTTTTACCAGAATTCGTACATTTTATCGGTCAAAGTTCTGGTGCTGTTGCTTGAGCAGTGTTGCTTGTCCATACTCAGCAGAAACGATGACATGAAAACTTGAGGTTCTGATTTTAAAGAGCTTTAAAAGCTTGAAGGGGAAGTTCAACCAATGAAGTCCAGACGGCAGAGCAGATGGGACTCTATGACTCATACAGAGTTGAAAGGTCACTAATGCTGTGTTCATTTCGTTCAGCGTGGACCACATGGTACTCAGTTCTGTGATGGCAGAGTTCGTCATCTTTGTCGTAACGCTGCGTATCGTCTCTTTTTCCCTCTTAGACATTCAACAGTTTTAATGGAGACCATCAAGAAAGGAGTTCATGATGCAGATGCTGAGGCTCGCTCTGTGGCTAGAAAGTAAGTCACATCTAATCCTAAAATCAGCGCCTGACTCCGACATCAGAAATGCTCCAACGCTCTTGTGCGATTTTCCTCTGGCTCGCCGTCGCAGGTGTTATTGGGGTTTCCACGGTCACTTCAGACGAGAGGCAGAGCAGCTGTTTCAGGGTCTGGAGTCGTCCTATCAGAAAGCTCTACAGGCTCACCTGAGGAGCGGAGACAGCCTGATGTCACTGCCCGCCTCAGACCGCTCCTCCTCATCCTCACAGGAAAGCCTCAAGTAGGACTGTTTTCTTCTCTTATTGATTCAGTTATTGATGACGGGAAATCAAAGAAGTGTCATTTTTAGAGGATTAGTTTTCAGTTTTTTTGTTTGGACATTAGAGACACAAATTCAGAATATTCCTTCAATATATTGCCTCAAACCATTTTAGGGAAAATAAGCTTTTTCTCTACAGATAAAATGTTTAAAGTTAATTTGTCTTGAGCCGGTTTCACTCTGTGTGTTTCAGTAACATCAAACTAATGAGGAGTTCTGTTTCTGACCTGCTTTCTGTCTCCACAGTCGACCCCTGTCTGTAAAAAGCACCCTTGGGAGTGGGTCAACACGATGTAAGGACTCATCATCCTGTTTTTACTCAATATACTCTCATTTGAAAACAGTTTTTTTTCCATATAAAGCATAATCAATATACGACCAAGTATGAGGGCCACACTAAGAACATCAAGAACATTATAAGACTTTGTAATTACTTACTTCTCGTAGGAAATGATTTTATTACGACTTTATTCTTGTAAGTAATGATTTAATCTTGATGTCTTAAATTTACACCGTCGTATTAATTTAACAGAGTAAGATTCAAATTTCATGAAATAAAGAAATGAACTTGGTAGAAACAATCTAAAGAAAACAAACAAAGACATGGGTTAAACCTGCATAAAAATGAAATATAAAAGACGTCAGAGGAAAGAAAGTTTCCGCACTCTTCATCCTTTCTGTTGCTCCTCCTCCTCCAGCCAAAGCTGCTCACACCCGGACGCCTGCCGCAGCCTCGTCTCCTGGCTCTCTCCAGCGTTCTCGTAGCGATGTGGACGTCAACGCGGCGGCCACGGCGACTGCCCGAACCAGGATGCCCGCCGTGCCCTCGGCGGTGACATCTTCACCCTTCAGCTCCGCATCGGCTCTCCCCCCCGGGTCCTACGCTTCACTGGGTAAGACAGACAGACAGAGCACTCTGGTCTTCTTCTCATGCATGGGTGTGGGGAATGGTTGAAAACAGCTGGAACTCATTTGCTTTTGGCTGTAAACATGAAATAATCTTGCATGTTTGTTAAAATCAGCAGGAAAGAAGATGGAGGTTCAAACATTTTTATTTTACCCCATAATTAGACTCACAGAAGTTGTAGACAGATGAGGTTCGGGTCTTTACATCATCTTAAAGATCATCATCACAGACATGTTGCTTTAAATGTCATTTTTATTGTGTATTTTACACCAAGGACACATTTATATCTTTTCTACAACACAGTATGATTATGAAATATCAAGAGACTCTCCAGATTCGCATGTTTAAGCGCTCCAATTCCAATCACAGCGCTCCCTGGTTTGCCAAGCATTCGTAAAGCTTAATCTCTTGACCCTTGACCCTTGTTGTGTCCCCTCTGACTCTCCCGCCTGTCAGACGGCTCGTGGTCTGTTAACGCAGACGGTAAGCTGTGTGTGTGTCTCAGTGTTTGGACAGGGGAATGATGTTCTTCCTCCATGCCTCCTCCTCGGTGTGTCTTTGCCCCCCATCAGCTCTGTCGTGCTGCTCATGTGTGATGGACCTCTCTGTGCATGGACTGTCTCCGCATGGTGTACCCTAACTTTTCTACTCACTTAGAATAAGTCTGTTTGTCCGTCTTTGGAGGTTTTTATTTTCTTCACATTGTCAGACACTTTAGGTGGACTGTGTCAGACATTTTTGGACTTGGATTAAAGAAGGAAAGGCTTCAGACACGACATCGTGCTTGTTGTTTTAGTGAACCTTTTGTATGAATGATAAAGAAATGTCTTAGAATCAAGAAACAAGTCTTGTTCTTCTGTCTTTCATCCCTCACTATCCCCTGTTTCACGTCCGTCCCATGTCCCTCTGTTTGACGAGTTCACTCTGTTTCTGCATGACAGGATAGGACACCATGTTGACTCTTCAATAAAGTGCTGTTGTAAGCCTCAGTGTCTTTTTAACCCTGATCTGATTTGTTGAGTATCAGGTCACTCTTTTGCTTCGTGTCATTGTTTTTCTGTCTGCGGTCCTCTGTCTCTGCAGGTCGAGTGCGGACCAGGAGAACAAGTTCAGGGAACGCTCCGTGTGTGACAGACAGCCGAGGGAGAAGCCGAGGGAAGGTCGTCTCACAGTCTCAGCGTAAGCAGCTGCCTCTTCCTCTCTTTGTCGTGTGTTTCTGCTTTTTGTGTCAAGAGGCATAAAAAACAACCTGAAATTAAAAGAAAACATGTTATTTTTTTAAACATAACCAAAGAGTAATAAATGAACTTTAGTAACAGACTTCCTCGTCTGTTTCAGCTGGCAGCAGATCAGGCTCTCCAGGCCGACTACTCAGCACCACATATGGCCGAATCCCGAGGCCAACCATGGGCACCGCTGCCGCCGCAGTGAGCAGCACCTCCAGCAGCCTCGCAGACAAAAGCCGGCCCCGGGGCCACCGCAGTCAGGGCTGCAGCCGAGAGACCAGCCCCACCAGATCGGGGACAGGTAAGGGAAAACATTTATGTGAGTTCTTTTGATTTTACAGGTTTAGAGGTTAGAATTACACACTAATATCCTTCCTCACTGAGAGGCTGATGTCTTCAGGTTTGCCTTAAATCTTCATATTTGACTTTTTAAAGCCAAAATTTCACATTATTAGCTTTTCTTTTTGATTAAAACTATAAAAAAGATGTGAACAGCAGACCAGAATAGTGATTTTGTCTTTTTAATGTTTGTTGTTACAAAATGGTGAAATGGGATAAATATTCATACACGTCTGTGAGTTTATTTCATACAGAGGTACAGTCTTCAGCTCTCTTTGGCCTCGTTTTCAGTCAGAAAGGGTTTCCGCACAGATCTGCATGTACACCCCCACTTTAAAACGACTTTATTCCTCTTACCTGTTTCCTCTTCTTCTCACTAAACCTGTGCCTACCTCCTCCCTGAGTTTGACTCTACCTTCTCTCCTCCCTCGACTAACCATCTCTGCAGAGCTCCAGGTGTATCCGTGTCTGGCTGAATGTGCTATAAGCTAAACTCCTCCTCTTGCGCTGCTGTCTGTCTCTCTGTCTCTCTGTCTCTCTGTCTGTCTGTGTGTTTCTCGATCGCGCACCTTTAGCCCGCAGCCGAATCCCCCGACCGAGCATGAGTCAGGGCTGCAGCCGCGAAACCAGTCGCGAGAGCAGCCGCGACACCAGCCCTGCCAGGGGTTTCTCCCCCCTGGGTGAGTATGCTGATGAGGCCCCCAAAAACCTCCCATTTCAGAAGTCGAATCATTGAAGAGGAAAGGGGAATGAAGGGATAACTGCATGAGAATCAGTTACAGAAAAATGAAAAGGAGAAAATTTAACTTGTGAAAGCAGCTGTCTGTCTCAATCACTGTTTGTTGTGTCTGAATTTATGCATGCTTTCCCTTTAAATTTCCAGATTCTTTCTACTAATCCTTTAATTAAAAAAATACATCTGTGCATAGAGCTCAAACAGAGAAACTTTTTGAATAAATGGTCTTTTTCATGGTCGTAATGAAAGCAGGTGTTGTAGTGTTTTCTCTTGATCACCTCCGTCTTTACGCCCTCCTGCAGCGACTCGACGTCACTCCCGTTCAACCAGCGCACTCTCCTCTACGGAGTGCTACTCAGGTGACCAGAGAGGTCCTCTCAGGGAGCAGATAGACTCTGTCAGCCAGATAGGATCACATACTCAACGTTTGATTTCTGTTTCTGTCCCTAAAATGGTTTAAAGTTTTCCCACTCAGAGGATTTCCTGATCTGTTTTCTGTAGATTTATCTGGCTAACTGAGTCAACCTGCTTCATGAAGCCTCTTTTTTGCATGGCTCAAAGTCCACTTCTCTGTGCAGAGTCTAACTGAAAGTGTGGGGAAATATTTCAGCATCCAAACTGTTAATTTTTTTGTTTCTGGCTGGTTCACAAAGCAATAAACGTCATCCATCCACAGGGGGGCGATACTGGACATCAACCTGGTCTTCACAATTACAGAGAAATAGAGAGCAGCATGCAGGGAAATAGTTTTTGCACTTTTCTTTTGCAGCTTCATGACAATCATTCTGAAGCAGTTTAATAGACGTGTTTATTTTCTATTTATTGAGTTATTCTGATCAGATTGACGTCTTTATACTTTCATGATATGTTTGCATTTTGTGTTTCTTTCTGCTTCGACTGCTCTTTAGACATCCCCATTAACAAGTTTTTGTTGCAGCTTCTTCGCTCTTTTTTTTGGGTTGGGTTTGTTGTTCATATATTGTTGTCGCCTGTCCAAACGGGTTCACCTCTTATAAATCTATAAATATAAATAAACATGTTTTTTTTGGCACCAACAGGCTCAGATTGTGATTGAACTGTCTGAAAACATTACAAAAAGGATCCCCAGACTTTTTACATAAAAGAAGATCAGTTGTCTTTAACGAGAAACAGACCCCAGTGATGATAATACAATAATCTAACAAACTTTATTCTGTGAGGTTCAAGCGTTTGTGGAGATAACCAGAGTGGACATAATCTACAAGAGCACTTCCAAAACTTTTCCCCTTTGAAATCATTCCTAAAATTCCCTCTTTTCCAAACAGAAGCCTTACTTTAAACAACTTTACAAATCAAAATGATCAGAACGTGGCTTATGAAAGAGGTCAAGTTAACATAAATCAAATTAGCAAGACGAACAAACAGACCTAACACAATGAGACAAAGGAGAACTTCTCCAAGTTCATCACAAAGGTGGAAAAAAAGAAGTAAAACTTAATTATGAAACTTTAGCCAAACCGGGAAGTGTCTTTCCTCCATAGCCAGGTAACTCAAAGACAAAGAAATGAGGATGAGTTTATCAGAAGTGTTTCTGATTTAAACAAAGATCCAGCACACAAAATAAACTAAAGTCAAATAAACTTCGTATGTAAACTGTGATTGACTGAGAAGTGAAACAGGAACTAGTGAGGTGAATGTAGCTGGGACGGCATTACTCCTGAGTAGTTTCAGCCGTCACATGTTCAGACCCTCGCTCATTTGTATTTCTTTCTCTCTTAGACCGTCTGTCTCATCAGGCTCGCATCTCAGCTTCAGTCAACGCCATGAGGATCCTCAACACCGGCACTGACGTGGAGGCTGCTGTTGCTGATGCACTGGTCAGAATGAACGCTGAGAAATGATTTCACAAATGCAAATATAGCTGCTTTTTTATTATGCAGCTGTAAATCTGCTGTTTATTAATTTATGTTCATTTAAGAAAAACTGTTTTATACTGAAATGACTTAAATCTGTAAATCATTTCAATAAATTTACACGAGATAAAAAGAGACTTAAACTTGGAGTTCAAACATTTTACTGTGTTTTTGTTGGGTGATAATTTTATACATACTGATTCAAACTAACAATGACAGTATCTCCTACAGTATAAAGTGTATCAACTCATCTTAAATCTCCTTCCTTTGTGCAGTGAAATAAAAAGCTATATATCTCTTGATGCCGTCAGAGCTCACACAGCCCCTTAGTAATGTCCTCTGTCTTTTTTCATCCATGATTTTGTTTACCTCAGCTTTTAGGAGACTCCAGGAGTAAGGTACCAAGAATCTTGAACTCTTCTGTTACTGCATGCAGAGCATGAGCGTTTCTCATTAACTCTTACTTTGAAACATGGAAGAGTGAGCGGGTTGGGATGTGTGTTAACCTGGGATGGGGGGATAAAAGTGGAGTAGCATAAAATAACTATCACATCATTTTATTACATCAACCTGCATGTCTCTGTAGCTGCATGCTAGATCTCCTCAGATCAGTAGATTTAGGTCTGACAGAGTCGTAGCTTCTGTGAAGTAGATGTTCTCCTGTCTCGTCTGTGATTTATTAACCTTTCTTGTTCTGCTCAGCGGAGGCCGGTGAGGAGGCGTTTCGAGTCTCCAGGAATGTACTCGGACGATGATGCCAACAGCGACGCCTCCAGCGCCTGCTCCGAACGCTCGTACAGCTCACGCAACGGCGGCATGGCGCCGCACTACCTGCGCCAGACAGAGGATGTGGCTGAGGTGCTGAACCACTGTGCCAGCGCCAACTGGTCTGAGAGGAAGGAGGGACTGCTGGGCCTGCAGAACCTGCTGAAGAGTCAGAGGATGCTCAGGTCAGTGTCAGACGTGGAATGTATGAAGTTTTTGATACAGATGTCAGAATCTGTTTTTGCAGCACCGAGAATGACTAGTTGGTTTGATGCTGTCTTATATTTACTCATCATCAAAGTCAACACAAAGATGTAAACCTTATCATTTATTTTATGCAGAGTGGAATTACAATCGAAGCTAAGATGGAAAAGTCTTTAAACTTTATTCATCAATCTGTCAGAAGCATGACGAACGCCGAAGTCCTGACCTTTTTGTTCTCTTTGTCAGCCGCGTGGAGCTGAAGAGGCTCTGTGAGATCTTCACCAGGATGTTTGCAGACCCTCACAGCAAGGTGAGCAGAGCACGGCATGACTCAAACCTCATACAGAGTTTATTATCAGGCAGCCTGATGCTAATATTCTGTCTGTCAAACCACACTGCTGTGCACCCACACAACTCGAAGCATCAGTCTTTTTTCATGATCAAATTATTCCCGTAGAGAGTGACAGGGTTTAAGTGAAGAAGACTTTAAGTGAAGAAGTTTAAATGGAGCAAATGGTCAAAGTGAAATTCCCGCTCAGATCGACGGACTGGTTTCACAGCTCACATGTCGGGACTAATAAAATAACTGCAGAGTGAACTAACAGAGAGTGTTTCTTTGTTGCATGCCTCCTCGCCGCTCGCTGTGGACTTTAACAAACACCAGAGAGTAAGTGTCGACTCACCCTCTCACCACAGTTGACTGTCTGCATGTTTCACCATGTGTTTATAAACCGAGGTTGAATACGATGAAGAGTATGAAGAGCGTCTTTCCTCTCAGGTGTTCAGTATGTTCCTGGAGACTCTGGTGGACTTCATCACCCTCCACCGCGACGACTTGCAGGACTGGCTGTTCGTCCTGCTCACTCAGCTGCTGAAGAAGATGGGCGCTGACCTTCTGGGCTCCGTCCAGGCCAAAGTCCAGAAAGCCCTGGATGTCACCAGGTCAGCATGGAGACTAAAACTTCTGAATTCAGAATCTTTTTCAGTTCTTCGACTTCCATGGCGTCTTGAAATGTCTTCCTGTCTTTTAGTTTTTACACATCAGACATTAACTTTTACACTTTACGGTACTATACATAAAATATAAAGCTGGAAAACAGTCTAAATGACCAACAAATACTGACATTTTTTATAGTTTAAATAAATGTGAAATACAAGTTTACGAATTCAGCAGCCATGGCAAACATTTTTCAACAAAATCATTTCCTGCTCTTCTCTTTCCTTCGACTGTTTCTCTGCAGAGAGTCCTTCCCGTACGAGCAGCAGTTCAACATCCTGATGCGTTTCATCGTCGACCAGACACAGACGCCAAACCTGAAGGTGAAGGTAGCCATACTGCGCTATATCGAGGCACTGGCTCGCCAGATGGACCCAGCTGACTTTGTCAACTCCAGCGAGACACGCCTCGCTGTCTCACGCATCATCACCTGGACGACCGAGCCCAAAAGCTCCGACGTCCGCAAGGTAGGAGGGCGGGATGGCGTTGATGCTTCCTCCACCTTCCCTTTAAACGTCTTCTGTTTTTCATTTCTGTTCCTTTACTTGTACGTGGAGTTTGTTTGTCTTTGTTTCATTTTTTTTGTTTTCACTTTTTTTTCCCCCCCCATTTACCATTTCTCGTCAACAACACCCCCAGACCCTTCAAAACTGGGCAGGGGAGGATTTCACAGGCCGAGCCAGCACCGTGGCCTCTCTGCCTGGGGAGGGCAACCTGGAGGAGAGGTGCAAGCAGGTAGAATCTCCACCAATCAGCATGACCAGAGTGTGTAACCCGCGCTAACACAGCCTGAGAACCACTCTGGGTGGATGTGAAAACACTCCAGATAACCTGACAGCGAGCAGGATGTAAAGACCTCTTAACCAACCTCTCTAAAATCAAGAGTCATGTTTGAGGGTCAGTTTCACAAACTGTGAGCTGGCTGGTTAATGAAGAAATTCATCAGCGGACGTTTCAGTGGACTCAGCTTTAATCTGCAGAGTGTGCATGAGCTGCTGGGATGGAAACCTTCTTAATTTGCAGTTTTAACCCTTCAGACTAACGAATCAAACATAAAACTTCTTTTCCAATAAGTTAATTTTTTTCAGTTTGCCTCTAACTTTTGTTTATACATCTTAATTTAGATGTATTATCTCAAAGACTTGAACTCCTCTGTGGCTTTTGCTGAACTTATTTTTCATTTGTATTGAATGGAAATGCTGCATGTTTATTGCAACAAGTATGCTTCTTTTATTCTCTTATTTATGTTCACAGTCAGCTCTGATTCATTCATATTTGAAGAAACAAGTGGAAACTTGTTTTCTGATTTTGTTTTTGGTCTCATGAATATTGAAAGACTTTGTGAATTTTGTAAAAGCTGGTAAGTGATTAATTCCCACTAAATCAGAAAGACTAAAATAGAAACCTGATTGAGGTCTTGTATTGAAGTTTTGTTTTTACAAAGTGGATCTCAGTATTTCTGAAATTTTAAGCCTGAGAATTCTTCCTTTAACTGAGCTATAGTTTGAAATCTGCAGTGTTATAAAAACTATTTTTCTTGAAATCTCCAAAATCCGGCAACTGGACTGTGTCGAGTTGAGCAGATGTTTCCCCGTTTATCCAAGAAGCTTCTTCAGTTCTGAAATAGCTTGTGGGGGGAGCTGGTACTTTATCTTACTGGAGGAGGGGAAAACAACGAATGGGAGGAATTGGAGTGAATGAGTCGTAGAAACTTATCTCCGGGTGATTATCCCGAGAGTCGTTAACCTGAGTAGGTCATTAACTACCCCTTCCATGTGAGGTGTTGTGGTCATATGGTCCCAGGTGTGAATGTTTGTGGAGCTTCCTGGGGAGAGAGCTGAGAACTGCATTGTAAGTGCCAGAGAGATTGTCGTTCAGAGAGGGTTTCTCCAGTCTGGTAAAAATGGCTTCTTTAACTCCTCTTTCAAACCATCTGTCTTCTCTAACCAACACCTGTACATCGCTGTCCTCGAAACAGTGACCTGTGTCCTTTAAGTGAAGGTGGACCGCTGAGTCCTGACCTGAGGAAGTGTCTCTCCTGGGTTGAGCCATGCGCTTGTGAAGCGGTTGTTTAGTTTCCCCAATGTACAGGTCCCATAGCGCATCCATGTTTCTGTCTGTAATGGCGCTCTCTGAAGTGGAAATAGGTGGTGCTGAGTCCAGTAAGGAACAGATGTGGTCCAGGGTTAGGTTAGTTCTGACCCCCAGTGTCCTGTCCTGTAAGAGACGTAGTCTTGCTGCTTTGACTGCCTCTCCTGAAAAGTGACGTGACGTCATAGAAAACCGTGGTTTCCTCTGGGTCCGGCCTGATGTCCTTGATTTTCTAGACAAATATGGATCATGAATGAGTGACGAAACATCTTCTCAACTCTACACAGTCCATTTTGGAGATTTCAAGAAAAAACATGACCTGGATAAATGAGAATCTTCATGGATGTTACAAAAACGAATTGACACTGGAGTAAACAGGAGTTAAAGATGGTTGTAAATGGTCATTCACACACTCTTTAATGCTCTTAAGTATATTGGAATAGAAATTTAAAGAAAATGTTTATTTTTCATGTAGGTGGACTCATCTGTTATGGGTTTACCAAAAGTCTGGGCTGTAAATACATTTGATGAACGACACCTCAAAAAAAAACTGAGGGTAACATAAGGTCCAGTTAAAAATTAAAATGACGCAATGTTTGTCTGTGTGTGTGTGTGTGTGTGTGTGTGTGTGTGTGTGCAGGCGGCCCAAGTGGTGCTGATCGCCCTTTTTGAGCTGAACACCCCAGAGTTCACCATGCTGCTCGGCGCTTTGCCCAAAACCTTCCAGGACGGGACCACCAAGCTGTTGCACAACCATCTGAGGCATGCCAGCGCCAGCAGCGGCATTGGCATGGTAACACTCTGAATTGATCATCTTCACTGGATCTGTAATAATTAGTGTTGTATTCGCCGTCTTCAGTTCAGTCTCCATCATATTGACTTTCAGGCGTCTCCCGGTAACTCCACGGGTCGGACCCCTCCTCGGCAGTCGAGCAGCCGCAGTAGCCCGCTTACATCTCCCACCAACTGCTCCCAAGGGGGACTCTCTCCCAGGTACACATTCAATACAGCCTCTAAAATCTGCTCCTCCAATCAGCAGTCACAGCACAGAAACCAAGACACAATACAAACATTTACACATTCTTATTTCTGGTGCTCTCTCATCAGAACGGTGTTTGTTTTTATTGAACCGGCAGCTCATCTCCATCCAAAATGAGAGAAAAACAAAGCGCTTTCTTCAGGCAGCTGATTGAGACAGAGCATCTTACTTTGAATCTTTGTTTTTAGACTGTTATCTAATCTCAGTGCGGCACACTGTCACCAGATTTGACATAAACATCCCGACATCAACAGCTGCTCCCAATGTTAACCAGCCAGTTCTCCAACTGCCCGTACTAACGCTGACAACAGTGCTTCTCCTTTTTCTCACATCTCTAACTTCTCTCCTGGCTGCTCTCCTCCTCTTCCTCCTCTTCCTCCTGTTGCTCCTCCCCTCCCCTCCTTCCTCTTCCTCCCTGGCTGGTTGCAGTCGGCTCTGGGGTTGGAGTGCAGATGGCCTCTCCAAGTTCCCCCCTTCATCCTTCCCCTCCCCTCTTCCTCCACCCACTGCCCACTCCTCCCTCAAGGCAGTGCGGCGAGCTTACTCCCCCAGGTAACCCCTCCCCTTTGTCCTCATTCTCATCCTCCTCATCCCGCTCCTCATCCCGCTTTCACAGTTTCACAGTATTGGCTGTTTGATAAAACCTAAAGTCAAATTGATATCATGATTAATCGAGACAGACAGCTGGAGTTAGAGATTTTGTCATACTGTGAAACCTAAAAATCTCTGACTCTGTAACCACTCACCTGACTCACCTGTCCTTTTGCTGCTACTGCAATAATTTGTGCTTCCACTGTCTCAATCCATCCTCCAGTTTCTGCTCATTCTGCATCTTTACTTTATTGTCTTGGTGAAAAAAAAAAGATAAAAATCTGCGTCTCTCTGTTTGACCCTGTTATCTCTGTGCCAGGTCATCTATATGTTTGCATGCACTGTACTGTAATACATTAGGGTGTGGAGAGATGGTACCCTACAGGCTCTGACTCTCTCGTTCAGTATGTAAATTAATATTCAATGATTAAAAAATGTAAATCTGGTCATGTCTGATTAATAAATTAGAGTTTAAACCAAAGAAAAACCAGTCAATGATCATCAGTCACAGGTTTGATCCAGAGCTGTGCTGATCCAGGTGATCATATGAGCAGACTGTTTTATCAGAGTCACTCTTGGATCACAACCAAAACGGTTCCTTAGGTTAGGCTTACTGCCTCAAGGCTAAAACACTCAGGATGTGTTTTTGGAGCGTGGCAGCAGCGTCATGTATCACGCAGCAAAGAGGTTTCAATTCTGATCAACGCAGCTGCTGTTGATCAGATGCTGCTGCTACGCTACAAATACACTGATCCTGTATGTGATACCCGATGATGCTCTACGGAGCAAATACAGAACACGGATCCTCAATATGGATCTTCTCTGTTTTTGGCTTCAGTCTCTCTGAGAACTTAAATCAAAAGGCTCGAAGAACCGTCATCGTACTCCCACAAATCTCTGAAATCGAGGCTCCCCACCGTCATTTTTGTCAACATACGTTTACCTTTTTTGGTAACTCACTGAATTGTTTTTGTCTTAAGAACCTCCTTCTCCCTCCTTCTCTTGCAGCAGCATGCTGGACTACGACAGTGAAAACCTGAACTCAGAGGAGATCTACAGCTCGCTCCGGGGTGTCACCGAAGCCATCCAGAACTTCAGCTTCCGCAGTCAGGAAGATCTGATGGAGCCGCTGAGACGTGACGGAAAGAGGGACGGCATGGTGAGGGAAAAGTCATGACCTGTCCTAAACTTCTCATCCCACACCTGCATCAGACATTTACACTTTTATATATTTATGCTTTCAGTTATAATGTGTCGAGTTTAATATATTCTTTTGTCAAAATTTCAAGTCCAAGATTTCTAACAGTGAGGTTTTCTTGTTGTGTTCCAGGCCGGAGTAGGGGCTTCCTCAGACTCAGACCCCAGGCTCAGTGGTGATGTGGGGGGAGGACGCACCGCTCTGGACAACAAGACGTCGCTGCTGAACACACCTTCCCCTCGCTCTTTCTCCGGCCCACGTTTCAGAGACTACAACCCCTACAACTACACCGACAGCATCAGCACGCTGGACAAAGCTGCGCTCAAGGATACGCTGTACGAGGATGCTGTGGAGCAGCTGAGGGACGGTGAGAACTCGGAGGAAAGCATAAGGAAAAAAAAATACGTAGTTTGACGTTTTGTGTCTTTATATTGACCTGTTTTCTCCGCAGGATCGCGACAAGAATGTGTGGAAAACAAGATCATGAACCCCAAAAACTTCCCAGGTGAAGATGTCTTCTTTTGTACCACAGACAATCCTCTGATTTTACCAAGAGAAATTCTCGAAGGATTTAGAAAGTAATGAATCGGGAACAGAGTGACAGATGGGTAAAAACAGCATCAGCTAAAGATAAACCTTCACGAATTTATGGAGCTTCTTCTGATGAGCGCTGACACTCTGAAACATCTGCATCTACATCTGTTTATCTTTGGAGTCATATAACACTGAGCTTCAGACTTTCCCACCATCATCCACACTCACTGCAGCACTCAGAGATGTTAATAATGGAGATTCAGTCACTCCCTACTCCCTCCCCAAAACTGTCACTTTTTTTAACGTAGCTGCGAGTTCTGTCGTTGACTTTTGCCCTCCTCCTGCAGCTGGTCCTGCCGAGCAGCTGGAGCTGGTGGGGGGACTCCTGAAGGAGCTATCCCAGGGCCAGGCAGTGGAGCGGGGCCCCGAGGAGCGCCGAGGGACCCTGCTAGAGCTGCTGAAAGTGGCCCGAGAGGACAGTCTGGTGGTGTGGGAGGAACATTTTAAGACCATGTTACTGCTGCTGCTGGAGACACTTGGAGACAAAGATGTAAGGATCAAAGTTTATTTTAGGACAAACGTTTATTCAGACTTTAAGAATGATTGTTAAAGTCCTTTCTGACCAACTCCTCTCTCAGCACACAATCCGCGCTCTGTCCCTGCGAGTCCTGAAGGAGATCTTGAGAAATCAGCCGGCCCGCTTTAAGAACTACGCCGAGCTCACCATCATGAAGACGCTGGAGGCTCATAAAGACTCCCACAAGGAGGTGAGGGTCTTCTGGATTACTTTGAGGCGTTTTAGTACTGCTGCGATCGAAGACTCATTTATTTTCAACCCTGCAGGTGGTGCGAGCAGCTGAAGAGGCAGCATCCACACTGGCGGGTCATATCCACCCCGAGCAGTGCATCAAGGTCCTCTGTCCCATCGTGCAGACCGCAGACTACCCCATCAACCTGGCCGCCATCAAGATGCAGACAAGGGCCATCGAACACATCGCCAAGGAGCCGCTCCATCACCTGCTGTCTGACATCATACCTGGACTCCTGCAGGTGAGGCGCTCGATCAGAAAGTGTGAGTTTCATGAGGTGATCTGAAGGCTGTTTGACCGAGTTCGACCGCTCGTCTGTCGCAGGGCTACGACAACACAGAGAGCAGCGTGAGGAAGGCCAGCGTCTTCTGCCTGGTGGCCATCTACTCTGTGATTGGAGAGGAACTGAAGCCGTACCTGGCACAGCTAACTGGCAGCAAGGTAAACCCTCATTTCAGCCAACAGTGATGATGATGATGATGATGGTTACTTACTCAAGATTTAGGATTGATGGAAAATAAGGCAAGCTGCTTCAACTCTATATACATACAGCTGATACTGTAAAGGGGAAAATAAACATGAAACCAACAGAGGAGGTTTACCTTTAAAAGGAACCTGTAATTCCTTACCTCTTATTTCATGTAGGTGTCATGTTTGTGTTTCAGTTCTTAACAAAAGACACAAAAACCAAACAAAAATATGAGGAAACTCACTGAGTCCTCGCACTTATCAAAGCTGAAAGGGACTGGACTGAGAGCTCTGATATGGACTCAGGGAAGGGTGAGTGTCTGACTGTTTCTGGGCTCAGACGGGGGGTCCTCTAACACTCCTGCTGTTTCCCTCCTGCAGATGAAGCTGCTCAACCTCTACATCAAGAGGGCCCAGACCTCCACCAGCAACAGCAGCAGCTCCTCTGACATCTCCTCCTATTAACTCTTTCCAGCACATGCTCAGCTTTCCTCACCTCCTCACAGAAACCTTTTCATTCCATCAGCTGATGACTGATCTGAATCAGCGTCTCCATGTTCTTTGTCGGACCAGGCTGAGAGGCCAAATCCCCACCTTTCCAAAAACAATGATTTCCATTTCTATTCTTCAGCTTCTTATGGAGCTGAAACCATCTTGATCATCTTCTTATCATCTTTTAAACTTGGCGAAGATGTTTCCTTCTCCTTCACACTCTCTGTGTAGTCATGAGCCTTAAAAGCTGCATTTCCATCCACTCATGATGGAAACTTTGTGCTCACACCAACCTTCTGCTTCTTCTCGCTCCCTATTTCATTATTATCTTCTCCAGCCGGACCTGAGGGCCTCTCTGGAGCTGAGGTGATCCTAAATTTCAGTCTTCTTAAACTTGTTTAAGTGTGAGGCGGGTTTGAAGGAAAGAATCTCCTGTGTAATGACTTCACTCAGCTGTGGGCTGTCAGTATTTGTATTTACGATTAGAACCTTTAATCCACGTCTTTTCACACTTTGCTTTGACACATCAAACCTTATCTTCTACTGAATGTAAAGAGCTTTGACAGGATGTGGATCTCACCTGTGTTTCTTCCTAACTACTGCCTCATTGTACCCGGAGGATCAATCTTAAAGGAATGTTTTCCGATTGGAACGTGTGCATTCGATTGAAAAAATGAGCTGCGCCGAGCGGTTTAAGAAGTGGTCTTCAAAAGGCTGAATTAACGAGTCCATCTGAAGGGTTAAAGGTTAAAAAAACGTCACTGATGATGGACTCATTAATGTAACAGGATGAAGTGTTAGCTTTCAAAAATGTGAAATCCAAACTCATGTTAGTTTACATAGAATGATCATTTGGCTGGCCAATGATTCGAAGCACTACAGCGATCGTAGAGAGTTATATTATCGAGAGCCTGAGAACCAGCAGCAGCAGATATCAGTGTTTTTAATCAAGTGAAACGTTTGAAGTTAACATTCAGGAATTTAAAAAAGGACATCGTTTGTTTGATGCAACACTTCTCAGTTAGATTTCCACTTTAAACTCTATCACAGGTAATAAATCTGCTCTCAAAAGAGAAGATTAAAAGGACAGTTCGGCTGGTGAACATGTATACACATATAGACATGCCTTAAATCTCATGAATGTAGTCTTTGCAACAAGCTGTCAGACATTTTTCTATTGAAATCAAGACCAGCCAGAATTTAAATGATCATAAAACATACATTATCATTATTTTTAATACTTTTTCCATCAGTCGAAAACGCTTTAAAGTCGACACAATCAGTTTTTATTTGGTAACACCACCTCAAATGAAAAGACAAAACATTTTGAAAGTGAAATTGAAAAGTGTTGCATCGACCTGACGGATCATTTATCTATAAATGTTCAAAACAAAAAAGTGATTTTTCTTAAAAAAATGTATTTTAATGCCTGAAAGTGCACAAAAGGTCACTCAGCTGAGGACGTCAGGATTTTAGACAAACGAAAGAAAACCACTAATATGATGTGAAACTCCAGCTTCAGTTCAAACTGGGAGTTTGTCAGTTTAGTCGTCTGCTGTCTAACAAGTTTGTGAAACTACAAACTAGCCAAGACTACTGGGATTCGTAGTTTTATTCCCAAATACTGTAGTTTATTTGTGTTGTATTCCACTCAAAAAAGGTCATATAGAGGTCAAAATGAAGGTCTGAATATATCAACAATAGTATCAGTATTTTATTTATGAGAGCTTTGTTAAAAGTAAACTAAGTTGACTGGTTTATATTTTGTTTTGCTAACAAACTGTTGACAGTGTAATCTTGTTTTAAAGAGATGCTTTAACTATTTGGAGGAGAAACTCGTCTCTATCAGTGGTTCCTAAATCGAATGTAAGTTCCTCTGAGACTTAATAAATGTGAACTAATGAAGCAAAAAGGCAATACTTCAATCTGACAGGAAGATTGACAATCTGAATGATCGAGAATAATCGACTTAAAGCTAGCGACAATTGATGAGTTGTAAAGTGCCAGCTCTGAAAATGAAAATTATGAAGGTGATTGTTTGATCTTCAGACATTAGCAATAAACTTTGAGAAATCCAGTTCGGGTTTCCACGTCAAAGCACTGTAAATTTCCATTGTGTTCCTCCTTTGAGACGTGCTCGCTGGTCAATGTACAGAAGTTTTTGTTTGTTTGTTTGTTTTTTTTGAACATATATATAATATTAAAATATTACTGCTGCTTATCAAAATACTAACAAACGCGCCTAATAACGCCGCGGTATGTACTGTATCAGAACAGAAAGGTTTGGCGAGAGTCGAAACTTAATGACTGAACACTGAAAATTCAAAGTCCTCTGATTGGTTGAACTCTCTGGTGCTAAACTCCACCAGTCTGGCACGTAAAGACGGTTCAAACAAACCCTACAGAGAAAGTTTGAGTCGCGTTAAAAACAGAGTTCAACATTTTGGGGAAGAGAGTGAGAGAAAGATGCACTACAGAAACTCTAGACACAGAATCAGGATAAGATTCTGTGCAAAACAGTCATGGAGTCCTTCATTTTTGCACCACAGTAGCAATAAAGTCTGCCAATATAATACATATCTTTATTTTTTACTTCTGCAGATCCATTTGGAGTCATTTACACATTTCCAAAAACTGCTGGGATTAATAACACCCCTTGTATGAGCCTTAATGAAGTTTGGTTTGATGTTTGATTGGAGTCACTGTGTCTTTGAGACATTTGTCAAACTCAGTGATCAGATACTCAAGAGTATTTATATTTTCTTACACTCAGTCCATCTTTAAAGCTGAGATGCTGTCCTAAACAGAAACAGTTTCCCCAAACTGTTGAAATCTGTCTTTTACCGGACTCTGAAATGAAACCCAGAAAGTGAAGGATGCTGTAACCGAAGATCCCCAGGCCTTATTTTATCGGCAAACTCGTTACTCGGACTGTTAAATGTACTGTACCAGTGCCCTCTGTCACTTTTCTCAGCGTGCGAGGACTTGACAAGAATCCGCTCTTAACTCTGGATTGAATGTTCCGTCAGCAAGCATGTGGTCCAGTAGATCCAGTGTTAGCCTGACGCAGTTTAGGCGACTCAGAGTCATCTCCCTTTACTTTTTGTACAGTGTGATTCAAAACTACAACTCCTAAACGACGTCTGCATGCAACCGTCTCAGCAATCCTGTATTTCCAGCTGCGTTGCTGTAAAACGTAGCCAAAACAGAAACTCCAAACGGAAGTATTTGATTGAGTTTTTGAATTCGTCCTTTTATTTTCCTGAATGTGTGCCTTTGGGTGAAGATTTCTGGCAATACTAACCTTTACTAACAAAACACAAGACAACACTGCGTCTTAGGGTGGACTGCTGTGAGAACTAAACGTCTGGATGAAGAAAAGAAGTGCTGTAAATATGCTTCAGGGGAGAGATTTTCCATTGAAACCACTCCAGTGCATGGCTCCTCCTGTTTGTTTTGTAGTCGATTAGTTTAATTTTATGTTATTCAGTATTTATGTTTCCTTTCCCTGTGTATGACTGTATATATTTACATGTTTGGTTCTCTTTCACCTGTGATAGACTTTGCAGAACTTGAAATAAACTATCAGACTTCTACTCTCCGGTCTGAAAGTCTCTTCCCTTGACCTCCTTTTTTGATCATGTTGATGTTTTAAATGCACATTTGTTTGCAGAAGAAAAGTGAGTATATATGTATATTTCTTGATTGCTGAAATTTAAGTAAACAAATACAGATGCTGATCTTTAGAGACGTGTGTGTAGAGTCTTCAAACCATCCACCAGATGGCACTCTATGCACTCATAAGGATTCAGGGATGTCCTGGTCAACAGCTGTAAGATTTCTTGACTGAAAAAGGGGAAATATTAAATTTTTTTCAATATTTTTCTATTCTTAACAAATGATTTGTTTGATTTTCTCTGCGCACTTTTGAGCGGGGGCACTGTGGCGGCTGTGGGGATCAAACCTGTGACTTTTTCTGTTATTACAGGATGAGGCCTTCCCGGACTCTGAGTGAGAGTGAGTCAGACCCACAGAGACAGGGACACAGGGACAGCTCAGCTCAGGGTTCACACTAGAACATCTGCCAGCAGGTACAGAGCATCAAAAACGCTCAACTTTAACCTCTGAGTCAACTCACACTCTCCAACTCGAGCACGGGCTTTCTTCTGGCTTTTCACTCGGTCTGGTGAAAATTTAAGGATAAAACCACAACAGCTTCACCTCTTTTTCTAACAGAGGGTTTTTTTAAGTGCACACTGATAAGGAATTTGTATTAATGTTTGAACTTAAGTACAGATTGTATTAGAGAGCGAGGTGTCCAAAGCAGACTGGGGCAGGAGTTTAAAGCATCATTAAGTGAATTTTAACTTGTAGAGAACGGTGAAAAAAAAAATCCAAAACAGATATTAATACTGATTAAATTAGATTTTCCTTTATTCATCCCTCAGTGGCAAAAATAGGTCGTTAACAGCAGGGGTACACACAACATACACATTCATACCGGGTACAAAAAACAAATAAGATGAAGAACCACGGTAAAAAAAAAGAAAGAAAGAAATAATGAAATAATAACTTAAAGCCAACAGTTACATTGATGAAAAATAAGTCGTTTAATGTAAAATAACTGCATCCATAATCCCATTTAAAGTATCAGAATTAAAACAAAATGCTGTTTCTCAGCATCTTTTATTAAAATGAAACACCAGCTGAAGACTTTTATTTTTCTTAGATTTAAAAAAATACTCAGAATTATAAAGTGGTAAAAAAAAAGGAAAGCGTCAAATTTAAGGGCCTTAAAAAATAAAAACGCTGACGTCAACGACTGGCTCACGCTCTCGCACCGCTGCAGTTAAATCATTTATTTTTAATTCAAAAACGTCGGTAAAAAGCCAAAATGGAGAATCACACGACATCTAAATCGTGTTTCTATTTCGATGCTGGTGTGCGTCGCAGGTTTGAATTCTCTCTCGTCTCTCAGACACAAGAGGATGATGAAGCGTGATGAGATGAGGCAGCAGAGAGACAGAGTTTCTGATGTTTGAACCTTCCTGCACAGCTTCATGGATCTGATGTTATTACTGCTGATCACAGATGAATAAACTGCAGGGCCACACTGTTTGCTTTACATGTTCCAATCCCACACTGTATAAATCTTTAAACACATCACCCGGATCAGCGGCTCCTAATGGAGTGTTTCATTTGAAGATCAGAGCGGGGTGTGGGGACGGAGCCTCACTGTCGTCAGACCTTGAAGCAGCTTCGTTTGCGTGGCTCTGCGGTGGCCTGTGTGTTGTTACAGAGCGCTGACTCTTCATCAGTATGCACACGCTGTTGAAAATTAATTTCATTAAAGACCCGCTATTTGCCCCCCCCTACACTCCGCTCCACCAGCTCCTCCTGTTTAAAAGCCCTCATAGTGTATGATTAGTGCACATTTCCCCAACCTGGCTGGGAGTGGCGGCAGGGTCGGGAGGTCGCCTAAATGAAAGAGAACAACTTCATTGTGAGATGACTGGCCCATAAATCATCGTCCGTTTTCTATAAATCACGGCAGATGGCAGGGAGCGAGCCGAGGCTCATGGGAGCTCGTTGTGGCCCCTGTGCATGATGGGAAGGGCCGGGCTTAGCTGCGGCAGAGGCTGGCAGAAGCTCAGGGTCAGTTCTCGTTTGTGGATGTTGAAGACGTGAGGTGTGGTGGAGGCGGGCCAGAGGCCTGGTTGATTCAACCCCCTCCCCCTGTCCCTGCAGCTCGGCCCAGGCTCACCTGATGAGAATCAGACCCCGGAGGTCCATGTGCGGCCCCTCTTCTCTCTGCCCTCCATTTAACAGGTCTAATCTGCCTGCTTAATATGGAGACAACTTCATCCCCCCCTCGTCCCCGAGCTGCGCTGAGACCTGTCAGGTTGACACTAAATGTCCGCCCAGGAGGGGAAATGTGCCCGGCCGACTCATGCCTTCATTATTCATCATGATTATTTAACAGAATAGGATTGAGCCGCACTGCAGCCGCGCTTCCTCACACTCTCACACCGTCTTTAACGACAAGTTTTCTGTTGGTGTCTGAAGAAGAAGTTTGTAGAATTCTTCTGACACCTCTGACGTGACGACAAAGTCTTCAAAAATCAGATTTTCAAACACTTTTTGATGCAGGAGGAAAACAACAGGCTCCAACAACAGAAGTCCTGAAGTTCTACATTAATTTTCCAGAGATAACTCAGTCTGTTGTGATGAGAAATTTCTGCTGCATCAACCACCCAACCCTCTCACATGAACACAGAAACTCCAAGTCTACCAACAAAAATCACAGAACTTTTTCAAATAAAGGGAAAATATTTTATTTTAATGAGACGAATGTGACAAAAATTCTGTGGAAGAATCAAAGTCGGCCCAGGGTTTTCTCACTTTCTTCTCTGTAAAAAAGTCAACGAGCCTCTTTTAAAAAAGCTCAAACAAGCAAATTTATTTTTTTTGTCTGAGGACAATGTCATGAGAAAGATGAATAATTGGCTTTGATCTGATTTAAATAGAAACAGGATTACGTGGCCAAAAAAAATGCATTATATTTAACTCCAGGGACGTTCAGAGGTTTTATCATTATACTGTTAACATATTTATTTTATTTAGAGTTTTTTACCACAAAAAAAGAGAGACTGGTATAAATGTCTTTCTTCTGAGCTGCAAAAACTTGTGACTGAATGACTAAAATCATGAAGATGATCTCAAAAACACAAAGACTGCTTTTTCTTCTCCATGTTTTTCCTTCTGACTCTCTGCAGAAATATCGATCTTTGAGGACGTACTTTAACACAGATGTGTGCACAGAAAAGAAAAGTTGTCCCACCTGGCACCAGTAGAGGGGGCTTTAGAGCCAGTGACAGTTTCATAGAGTCAGTGAGTCAGTGTGAAGAAGAGCATTCAGGACTTTGAGGCCTTTTAAAGCTGCACCTCTCTTTTTACATTTACCAACCAGCACTTCATCTCTTATGATAAGTGTAGATACACACGACAAAGACCTTTTCTTCATATAGACCTCACATTTGGCCGATAAATGCTCCTCACTCAAGACTGTCGCTGTACTTGATAAAGAAAAGTCGGCTTTGGGGAATTATGGAAAGTCTGTTTTCTCGTTCGGTGACACCTGCTGAGTGAAAGCAGCAAACATCACATACACGATTCTTAGTTTTCTCACCACAGCCCCTTTTCAGTCTGGTCTAAATCTGCTTCTACAGCGACAAACACTCGCAGGATCTTTTTCAGCCTTTAGTGATTTAAGAAAAAAACACAAAAAGACAATATTATCAACAAAGAGGGCAGCAAAGAAGACTGTAGGGGTTTTAACTTTTTTATTCCCCCCATCATACGTGTATGATTGTTTGAGGAATTCATATTTTCCTCAAATTTAAGATGCGTTTTTGTTGACTGAATCTTTTTCATATTTAAGAAAATAAAAGATAACTTGAGCAGTTATAGGTGAATCTTTAAAATATGTGATTTCTGTTTTTAATTTTTTTGATTAAGAGGTTAAAGATCATGTGACGAGCATCTCTTCGCGGTCGGAAACCTTATATTTTTTTTGTTTAAAGTTGTCAGAGACCCTCGGCTGCTCTGCTGTGAATCGGGGTTAACGGGGAATTCGTGTATTCCTCTGCCATCCTGCACTTAAAAGCAGCCGAGCCCCATTAGCTGCTGCCCTCCTTTTTTTCTGCGCTCTTTATTTTCTTTTCCCCCTCCGCTGGATCTTTTCCGTCCAGTTGGCTCCAAACCAGAAGCTCCCGTTCCTGCGAGACCTGTTCAAACACTTGAAAAAAAGACGGAGGGTGTAAAGGGGATTGGAGTCCTCGGCTCGACTAATGAAGATCAGTGTGCTCTGATGGTTCAGAGTCCATCTGGACTTGAGGTCTGAGAGGGTTTTCTGACATATGCTGCTGCGGAGTGTCGGGGTAATCAGCTTCTTCATTCAGGTTTTCTCTGGTGTTTGACTCCAGAGTGAAATACAGGAAATCAAAAACAATTCAGCACTTTGACCAAACTCTTAACATCCCGCCTGTGCTCCAGACCACTTCAACACAGATTGTTTGTTTAGCTGTAAACTTCAGTTCAACTCCAAGTGGAGATACCAGAGATGTTGGAGAAGTCCAGTTGGATTTTAGTCTGAGAGTTTCCGAGTCAATTCTTCTTCTCAGTGATTTCAGCTCAGTTATCGCTCACAGGTAGAGGTAATGGTAATGAGATCTGTTTCTCCTCAGACTGAAGAAGACGAGGTTTTGAGAGCAGGAAGGTCGTGTAGTTCGGCGTTAGATGAGTGGATGACTTGAACAAAGACAAAAGAGATTAAACTAAATTTGGTCATTAGAGCCGTCTTCATCAGCGCTCTGAGTCTGACAGTGGATCAGCTGTCCGCCCCGTCATGTGACGGGTGGCTGTGTGTCATGATGGTGTTGGGGGTGCCTGTGGGGGGCCAAGGGCACAGGGAGCTTTTCAAGGTGGACCCACTCCCTCGCAGCCCCCATGCTGGGCCTCCGTCAAACTTCCAACCCCCCCACATCCCTGCAGCCCAAACGCGGGCATTAATGCAAATTATGGTCTGATAATTGAATAACTTTGCCGGCTTGATCTGTCCTTTTTATTCCAATTATCATCAGGCAGGGGGTTGCGTTCCATCATCAGAAAATAAACACCATCGATCATCCTTGTAATGATTAGCTGCTGACAGGCCGAGCTACGCTTTGCATAAATGGACTCTAATGCAGAGCTGGAGAGTGGAGCGGGCTGCTTTTTTTCAGCGTTTTCTGCAAACTTTGGCTCCATGTTGAGGTTATTAACCGTGCTGATAATCACAGCAAGACTCCCTTTATGTTGCGGAGAGGCGGCGTGGTTCGCAGCCAGCAAGGAGAGCCATTTCTTAAAGGATTACGTCAGGGGAGACTGACTCAAGCTCAGAACTCCGAGCCAAGACATGCAACCAAGGCCTGTTAAGTCTTTCCAGAAAGAGGCTGGAGGTGCCAGAACCATCCACAGAGCTGGCACCACGAGCTGCCTCAGCATCAGGGCCTCCCTATTAATTGCAGTGGAAAAATGATGCTGCATTTCCCGCCTGTTGAAGCAGCTTGCAAAGAAAATAACCCCCCGCCCCTCCTCCTCCAAAGAAAAGAGGTTGATTTATGAAGTTTGAGTCTTAAATACAAGAAGAATAATCAGGCTGTGGAGGCTGTTTGGCATGAAACAAGTCCATTTTCACCATGGGGAGAAAAGCATTAACAGACTTAAATCAGCATTGCATCAGGAGGTGAATGTTTTATGCCATCTGTGTTCTTGTGTACTCTTTGGCAAAGCCCTCAAGTGCAGAAAAAAGACTTTGTGAACAAGGTGTATCAACTTTCTTCACTCTGATTACAAGTCTTAGAGGAGAAAATTTAGCTATTTATGATTCCTGCTTAAAATTTACGCTCAGATCACATCTCTGTTTTCACAGGCTATGAAATAATAGTGTTCACTCCCCGCTAAATCGGCGTCTTTGCCAGTGATGGGAGGGGGTTAAAAATTGAGACACAAACACTGAGCGAGGCAGCCGGCCTTTCCACACAGAGCCGCTTTGTTCTCTGCCTTTTGCTTTCTGCCTTTGAAACAGCGAGCAGAGATGA